GTTTTCAAGCTGGCAGGTTTCATCATCAGCTTAAGCCCAACGATTCCAGCCTCGACGCCACGTGCAAGCTTAGGCCTCTCTACTCCTCTGGCCCCTCGTTAATGGCTCGCCGAGTGGGATATATGGAGAAATGGAAGGTCCAGCGGGGTCCACGTCTTGCGGAATGACTTGCATAGATGCAAGGTAGGATTGGTGTTGGGAAGAGCCAAGGGTACAAGTGAACCATAGAGCAGGGCTACCCTGCAGGCGGATAAGCCCGCATGAGACAATTGACTTACCCAGATTCATAAAACCCCTAATGTAGGATGTCTTACACAATTGAAAGAAAACAATTCGCGGAGAGAATGTGGTCAAAGAGTATAAAAAGAGCAATGCAAAGACGGAGTAAATGGGGGAGGATGATGTAGTGTCATCTTTCTGCCACGACCCACCGCGTGACGTGCTCTGACCGCATCGAGTACTCTGCCAGCCCCAGCTATGGACTCAACTTTCAGTCTTTCAATCTTTCTGTCTTTCTTTCAGGATATAACAACTCGAGCAATATTTCCTACATGGTACAGATGAGATAATATGCACTAGGAACCTCCTATCAACACTCCAAACTGACCCTTTTCTGCGGCATTTTCGTGCAAATGCCTCATTACACCAAGTGGAGAGCCGAGCTCTTTCACGTTCAGCAGATGAGCAAATCACGGCGCCTCTCTACTGTGACAATAGCGGTTTGATCCAACCACAGGGTTTTGTCTTCGTAGCGTGCAGCTCTGTCTTCCCCCGAATACACTAGACGGATCATCCTGGTGGCCAGACCATTCGCTAAAGTATATTCGTGGCCCTGATATAGCTGTTGACCGCTGAGTGGCTGCGCCCAGGAGAGGGGGTTCTCGCAATCGGCGTCAAACCTCCCAGATAAGACCTGGTCCGCTGGTATCGCTGATGCGAGATTATTTCTTTGTATCCACATTGGCCGCAGTGAGCGGTGAGCGAGTAACAGGTTCTCCACATTGCATCATCGGCCCAAGCACAGGATTCCGAGTCCAGAGTCTGTACTTGTATGTACTAGTACTAGTATGGAGTCTGGGATGTACTTGATAACGAGACTCTGTGAGCGCAGATGCACCGTGATATAGAAAGCGGATTTAAAATGTCTTTTGGTGCCGTATCCAGGTGGGCAGCATTACCTATAGACTCCAACTCGAGCAACGCAAGCACACGAGCAGTTGACAATAAGCCCAAATTTAGCCCTAGGTTTGCAATCCACCTCAGCTGGTACTAGTAACATAGCTTTGAGAATTAACGCCACTAGTCTGAGTGCATAATGCTGGGCGGTATTCTGGCTGGTTAGTGATTCCAACATGTCTTGTCCTGGTCCCTGACATAAACTTGAGAGAATGAGGGGAAAGCTGGTCATGCGCAGGCTAGGTCCTAACCTGCTGATGCCGAACTTGCTTTTGCTACCCCACCGCCATAGTTTCAGCAATTGCGGGGTGGTGATCAATGATCTTCATTCTGGTTTAAATATGGCCACAATTTAACCTTGGAGTCGGGCTGGCATACCGCAATGATCCATTGAGGCCATGATTCTCTTCTGCGATGGTACATACGTAACAGTATCAGATCAAGGCACGAGAGTAGATCACTAGAGCAAAGTTGCTGGTTGCGAGAAACGTATGGGGCACAATCGAGGATAGAGGTCATCTTGATGTCGAGCTCTCTCGTCAGTGTGCGCTGCCAACCTTTGTTGTCGTTGAAGCACAAGTTTTCGAGCCATCATCGACTAAGTGAGAAATCATAACAAATCGAGGGAATTGCCAACATGGAAAAATGAACCCACTTATGCGGCACGATCAAAAAAAAAGGTATCCTGATGGTTTGGTTATCCTGGAGAATAATGGAAGGAAGCAAAAAGATATGACAAGAGTGGGATTCGAACCCACGCCCCCTTGCGGAGATCAGGAAATTGGAGTTAAGGTTGACCTTAACCTGACGCCTTGGACCAACTCGGCCATCTTGCCAATTGGATGAAAGATCGCTCGATATTTGACGTTATCATCCAGAACAGATTTCAAGACATGATCATGTAAAGATTTCCCCACCTTCCCATTCTCACAGTAGCATACAAGCAGGTGTCTGATATTCTTTAACTTCTTCATTAGTTATTTATCATGGTATATAACTGACTTCCAAGGTTACTAATGTTCTTTCTATTGGTAAACCTAGTAGGTAATTACCTAGGTATGTTAGTTTTGTAGTAGTAGTGTGGTGGGTCCTAAGGTCAGTATATATAGTCCACGGGTAATAGTGATGACCCTGTACTACTATCTATTAGGTACCTACCTAGGTAATAGGTACACCTACCAGGTCGGCATCTGAACACCCACCTGGTCAGCATGGATCCCGAGACTTTGAAAAAAGCCTCAAAACCAAGTTCAAGTTGGACTCCGAGTTTCTATCGAGTCTGTAAATCCGCCCAACTTGAACGATCCAAGTCTGGAGCTTGAATAGTATAACCCTCCAAAGGGTTGGCATAACCGCTATATAGTCAAAAGGCAAAATTTCAACATGAGTACCTAGGTAAAGTACCAATTGGGCAATTCGGGCACCCGGGCAGGTGATCAAAGAGGATATTTGGGGAAGAAGAAAAAATACCACAAATCATTGAATAGTACATGTAAAATCTGGCATATGTACCTACATCCATGGATAGTACCACCAGTCACACGTGGCGGGTATAAAATCCAAGCGGAGTACTATATCCGGGTACCCAAGTTCTATGGAAGCCAAAGCCAGCCGTAGTATGAATTATTTGAAATAACCCGCGATAACATCGCGACCACAAAATGTATTCCGAGTAGGTTCGCCCAAAGACAATAGAGACGTACTAGTACAAGTACAGGATAAAAAATCAAGCAAAAAGCAATATCGTGGCGCATATCAATGCATGTTCACCCAAAGGGTCTCCTCCAGGGATTCGCAGCGAGCATCTCATCGTTTCAAAAGGACCTTCCTCCCCTCCGACCACCAGATTTTATGCCAACTCGCATGAGATATGGAAGAGAAAAGCGAAGACCGAAACTTAATTGCCTTAGACAATCATCTGTGCAACACCAGCGCCACCCAGGGTCTTGCTTCCAATAAATTCCTGACTCTTCACAGCGGCAAGCGCATAGAAGATAGCGGCGATATCGAGGAAGACGGCAGCAGCGATCAGACTGCAAGCACCAGTTGCCAGACTGGCCCACTGCACACCACTGAGACCGAGGTAAATGGCAGCTCGCATCCAGCTGGTTGTGAAGCGGCGGATAAAGTCGTCAAACTTGGAGGAGGTTGGGCAAATTCGAAGAAGGAAGGGGACTTCGATGAAAAGTAGGACGAATGACGAGGCACTAGTCTTGTTAGTGCGACACTCGAACGTTCAAGGCAATGGTGGCACCCACAGGCAGACTACGGAGAGGACAATGTGCAGCACATTGGTGGTGAAGATATTCGCAATACCGAGCGCGAAGCAGAGAACAATACACAGAACACCGGCCCTATTGTTATGCGGTTAGAAATGACTGTCGTTACCAAAAATAGCAGCGCTTGGAGATGCTCGAGGAGAAAGTCATCGCATCAGCGCCTGGAGTCCAAACGGCGCTATGCGGCCTTGATAGACGGTAGGATTGGAGCCGGAATTGAAACCGAGGGGAAAGATCAGGTAGATAACTAACCATTGGCCATAGATATCTTGAAAGGCGCAAGGTTAGTAAGGTGATCAATACAATGGGGCTGATCGACATCGGTCGCCCGCAGTGGCACGAGGGGATACGTACTGAAATTTCTCGAGCGGAACTCCTCGGCTAGCGTCATGATGGGCGGGAATACGGCGATAATGTAGAGGCGACAGGAAAGAGAGTTAAATAGAGACCGCTAGCGACGAAGAAAGGTTGAGGTTTGTGGAGGTGGTCAAAAGAGAAAGGGTACACGCGGCTGATTAGTCGGGACGTTGGGCGGTCAATCGTTGAAACGCAAACAAAACAAAGCGGAGCGGAAATCGCAGATCAATCAGTTGCAACCCAGTAGAGAACAGACTAGTTGATCAAAGGTTGATTGTGAAAGAATTAAACTAATGATTTCAGTGATTTCAGTCTGTGAGGTTCGTTTTTAATTATCCCTTGCCTAACCCAGGCAGACGTCTAATCATCCTCCCGAGCAACGTGATTTTCTCTCAAGGCTGCCGAATTATCAACTCTGAATGGGCCAGGCATAGCCCTATATTGAAAAAGATCGACAAGGTTACTGTTTGAATACATTGAAATGGATCAAATAGCATATCCATGCTCCTCTGCATATATGTACTACCACCATTCATACACTCATCGCATCCAATTCCATTAGTTCGTTCAATCATCTCCAAATCTCCAAGAATACTAGATACTCAAAGGGACGGGTGGCCTGACAACGAAGTTGATAGTACGTAGTACTTGACCAGGATTTTGGAACAACCTATGAATTATTTAAGGAGAGGATTCTTGTATCTAGTTAGAATACAATTTATTTTTAATTGAACAGAGAGCTGTTCCAAGAGCAAAACTCGCGCCATGAAGAGAGAGTGGCCACCTCGTCTCCCCGTCCCATACTTGAACGAATCTACACCAAAAAAGATCAGACGACTTCAATGCCTCTCCAGGGAGAGGACGGGAGAAGCAAAAAATGACAAGAGTGGGATTCGAACCCACGCCCCTTTCGAGACACGGAAATCTGTAAAGATCTCTGAGGATCAGGTGAAACCTGAACCGTGCGCCTTAGACCGCTCGGCCATCTTGCCAATTGAATGAAAATGGTGGAATATTTTGGCTCCATAGAGGGAGCAGAGAGGACTGGCGATATCGATTAAAGAAATGACATTGATTTTCGTGTTAGGAATTGTCTACTCCGTACATTACACATGGGATATTGAGAATACTTAACGTTCAAGGATATCATTTACTAGTACTATATCTCTTCCAGCTCTATCATCCCCCTTAAGAACCCCGATATGTAGAATAGTTCCAAGGGCCCAGCAGTACGGGAACGTGGTAATGGCGCCAGCCCTCCTCGCCCTCGCGGCCACGACCCTTGACGGTGAATTTGACCTCGACCTCAGGCCAAAAGCTCTCAATTCCTTGGGCTTCATACCAAGGTCCAACCTCGAAGCGTACCGACCAGTTGGTCTTGCTATCAGCGGTGGGTAGTGCAGACAGAATCTCGGGAACCGAAGTGGATGCGCCGGTGGGTGTCCACTTGCCTACACGGCCATCGGCATTGGTGATGGCGTGGTAGGTGACGGGGCTGGCAGAAGCCGGGGTGGACAGCAGGGTCAATGTCACGGGGAGGTTCGCAGCCGGAGTGCCGGTCAAAGTATTAAGGCAATGGCATGTAATGGGGTCGCGCGCGGCCATGGTGGCGGGTGGTTGTTGTTGGTGGGATGTTCCGGTGGAGGTGAGCTGTTGTTGGACTTGGGCGAGGCGATTGGTGGTGCGAGCCTGTTCAGTTTCACGGCGCGAAGTGTCCATCCAGACACCTAGATGAGAGAGGTAGGAATATAAGAGGAGGAAAGGGTGTTTTATCGGAGAGTAAAGAAAAGAAGAAGAAAAAAAGAAGAAAATCGTGGGGGAGCTGCGTCGCCATTTCTATGGACCGCCGCATCGGAGGGCACCGATAAATGCGGAGGATGCCATGGACGAGAGAATACAGGTGGAGCACAACTCATTTCAATCGCATAGAACCCTCTTCTTTGGACTCGAGGATAATGATTGTCATCCCAGTTGGGATTTCTTCCATTTTAACCAGTAAATTATAGGACATGGCATGATCTGCTTACTCTCCTATAGAGTTGTCACTACAAGAATGCCTTTAAAAACGGAGGTAAATGCAGAAGATCATAGTTTAGGTCAAATATCACTAATTGGAATTAAAAAAAACTTGGAATTTTCCATTAGGCAAAGTCTACGGAATACTTAATGAAATCAAGAACTAATAAGAATAAAAGGCAAACAAGATCAAATGGTGGCCACCTGGCTAGACGACTTCCCGAAGATTCGCTCGGTTTGCGGGGCAAATCATCATTTTTGAATGTCAACTCCAACTCCTCCATCACCTCCGACCTCCGCTCTTCCGCCCCTCTCCACACCTCAAAAATGTCCTCCGCAGTCGTTCATGGCGACGATCTCGATATGGAGCCCACGCTCCAGTCGATCCTGAACCAGAATACCCTCCGCTGGATCTTCGTCGGAGGTAAAGGAGGTGTGGGTAAGACCACCACCTCGTGCTCCCTCGCCATCCAGCTCGCCAAAGTCCGCAAATCCGTCCTCCTCATCTCCACCGACCCCGCGCACAACTTGAGCGATGCTTTTGGCCAAAAGTTTGGAAAGGAGGCTCGCCTTATCGATGGCTACACCAACCTCAGCGCCATGGAGATCGACCCCAACGGCAGCATCCAGGATCTCTTGGCCAATGGTGATGGTCAAGGTGAAGACCCCATGGCTGGTTTGGGCATGGGCAACATGATGCAAGACCTGGCATTTAGCGTGAGTTCCACCTACGTCTTCCACGTGGAAGATGCCAAACGGTCGCTAACGAACAATGTCTGCGGGTAGATCCCCGGTGTTGACGAAGCTATGTCTTTCGCCGAGGTCCTGAAGCAAGTCAAGTCACTCTCCTACGAGACTATCGTCTTCGATACCGCTCCAACCGGTCACACTCTACGTTTCCTCCAGTTCCCCACCGTGCTGGAAAAGGCCCTGGCCAAGCTCTCCCAACTGTCATCGCAATTCGGCCCGATGCTGAACTCGATCCTCGGCGCGCGCGGCGGCCTTCCCGGTGGACAGAACATGGACGAGCTGTTACAAAAGATGGAGTCTCTGCGCGAGACGATCAGCGAGGTGAACACACAGTTCAAGAACCCGGATATGACCACCTTTGTCTGCGTCTGTATCGCGGAGTTCCTGTCGCTCTATGAGACCGAGCGTATGATCCAGGAATTAACTAGCTACAACATTGACACCCACTCGATTGTCGTCAACCAGCTGCTGTTCCCTAAGGAAGGAAGCGGCTGTGACCAGTGCAATGCTCGTCGGAAGATGCAGAAGAAGTACCTGGAACAAATCGAGGAACTTTACGAGGATTTCAACGTGGTTCGCATGCCGCTATTGGTTGAGGAGGTCCGCGGCAAGGAGAAACTGGAAAAGTAAGTTGACTGTGGCAATTGTTGATGTTGAGTGTTACCCGGACTAACCGAATCTTCTTTTTTTGCGCTATAGGTTCAGCGACATGCTGGTGAACCCTTACGTTCCTCCGCAGTAAAAGAGATGTTTGAGAGAAGTGACGATATGTAACCGCATTAATTTGCACGAATGATGAAAGACTAGAGAATAATACATGACACACCCGTTATTCTCTCACTTGCATTGCTCCCACGGCGAGTCTCAATTGACACCCCTGGGTGTACATATCATATATGTATATTGCGCTTTTTTTTCGTTACATTTTCTTAGCGAGATGTGCATACCTTTGCAACTACAAACGACCAGCCCTACCGGCAATTGATGTCATGCACGCCCCATCACATCTTCGAGTACTCTGGCCGGATATGAAACTTAAATGTCTCAAAATCCATGATCGGCCCTCGGAGAACCGTTCAGATTGCAAGTATTGATTTGAACTTGAATGTATACATGCAATACACACACTGTAGTAGTTGGTCACCAGCAAATGTACTAGTAGAGTGATCAGACCGAGGAGAGGGGTTGGATGATATAGATAGAAGATTCCAATTGAAACTGACATGCCATTTATAGGCCGGACCCCAGAAACTTAAAGTACTATTAGCAACCGGTGGGAACTTTCGTATCTGATGTTGGCTGCGTCACCCTGCCCTGCACTACACGGGAACTAGACTAGACTCATCTAACATTAGTCTAGATTGCATCGAACAGCAAGACCAAACGTAACCCAGGAAACTCTCTCTGTCCCAAAAACGCAAGATGCAGATATGCTAACTGCAGCGTGGTTCGGGCCCCACGGCCAGGTTCGTTGTTCATGGTGCCACGACATCACCGCAGGAAGAGGTCAATTTGGCGCAGCGAAAGAAAGGTGCGGTGAGGACACGGTATTGATGATACACCGGGAATATCGAGCGAAATACTATCCACCGTGCACTGTCTACACACAATTGGGAGGGCTCGGAGGAGGTTACGGTGTGCTTGCAAGACCCTGAATTAGGTGTGCTGCGTTGTTCTCTGCAGTTGTCCACCCATTTCGACTGGTGCCTTTTCATCTACCCCCCCCTTCTGTCCCCTCCAGCCTCACTTTTATCCTAGGCCGAAGCCCGGGCTATTGGAGGCACAGACTGATCATGGCTGGTTTTATCAATTATGATATTAAATTAAAAACGAAAAAGGGAGTAAGGAAAAAAAAAGGGTTGGACCTCGTTAATAGATGAAAGTGAGGCGGACACATGGTGCGCCCCCCTCTTCGCCGTTTTTGTCTTGATTCTCACATCCCCGACGGTTCCGACGGAGACCCATTGCCTGCTGGACAGCTGGAGACATTGGGACTGGTTCGTTCCTGGGCGGAATTGCGCGACCTATGGTTTCTTTGCTGTGCACTTTTACCATCACCTCGTGGAGAAGGATGTCGGGATATTTGTCTGGTCGCATTAGTTTGGAGCCACCTTCGATTTGTTCCGTTGAGGTTTGAGCATCTGGTGGATCTGGCTATTTTTTGTCCTTTGACGAAAAATGCACGGTTTGGAGATTGTGAGATCATCGTTGGCCCCCCCCCCCATAGGTTTGTGGTTGATGGACTGCAGCCCCGGCTGAGGCTTGTCTCATTCGTCTCTTTTAGAAGGAGGGTTGCTCTTCTTTCACCACAAGGAGGGGCTCGATGGCTGGATATAGAAGCCCCGGGTTATTTAAACCCCATGAGTGATCCTCCAAGCCGTAGATTGAGAAAAGTAGAGGATATCAAAGTCTTCCGCCAGCATCTGGCTCTGGCTTCACCATACCGGCGTCGACTCCAATTCTCACTCTCTTCGAAGTTGCAGCCCTTATGCCCAAGCAAATATACCTGATGCACACAAATAATATATACTATATGATTATTTCTTTATCGCGCGTCCACAATGTCACGAGTTCAACAGTACTGGCTGCCGGGGTATGGGCTATCTCGACATATTGTCCTAGGGCATATCCACTACTTTCTCGGCCCCTCTGCATCAGTTAGACCATATAGTTATCAGGTAAATTAGATTCTTACCCCCTCATGCTATTTACCATTAAACCATTCTGACCAGATACTTACATTGACTTAAAGGGACGCGAAGGTTACCTCATCGTTGGGGTACCGATTACACGGGTCTGTCTGCATCGCAGGAAAGCAGCAGACAGAACGGAGCTGACTCGCTTCGCCACAGGAACAAATCGAAGACCTTGCAACAATGTCTAGAGAATACGAGAAGCAGGAAGCCTTACGAATGACCCACCAAACTGGATCTGGAAACGGCAATGGTAGCAGAAATGGACATGGCAACGGAAATGGAAATGGAAATGGACAGTCTGGAGAGCCGTATATCAACGAGATTGTCCCGGTGGATTCATCAAGGCCTCGAAGACACCCCGTGGAGCCGGACTCCAGAAGTGGTCGTTGACATGGATATTATTCCCCAGGGTTCTGTTGTCCTGCCGGAGCCGATGCTTGCTGCCCAGGCGAGCCATCGGATGGATACTATTCGCAGCCACTTTCTTTCTCTCACATCCCATGGAAATCTGGCTCGAACTATGGGGACCCGTTGTTATTTTTCCACTGGGTGACAACGTCGTTTATATTTCCAATGCTTTCGGCTCACTTCCCAGGAACGGCGATCCCCGGACGTGCAAATGGAAAGCCACCCCCGGATGTTGGGCCTTTTTCATTCCGCGGGCTTTGAAAACTTGGGATATACTGATTGAGTACCTGGACTGCCGACATTGGACTGTATTGGACACTGGGCCGTAGAGGCTAATAACCGACGTTTACATTTTCGGCCAATTTTCTTTCAAGATACCCCCGGAGCTCTCAGCATGACTTATTTCGGAACACTAGAAGTTTGCAACTGCTTTCAATGGGCTTGAAGCCTATGAACCCTCACTTCTTTAGAGCTGGTATCATTGCTTTCTTTATTATTGCATTTTTCACATCTTCTTTTACGAGGCAACGGAAGGAAACCAATCTTGTCAGACATCATTTTCACTCATCTCTATAGACCATTCGTAACAGCATAGATCCATCAGACGTTCGGGTATATCCCGAGCATGTCTTCTACATAAACCCCAGTCGCTTTTGTTTTCAGGCGCGGGAGGAAGAGCGCTGTGAGTCCCTCGTGGTTTCTTTTAGACCTCCCCTTCTCTGCAAAGGACCTTCGAAGGTCTTCCGTTGCACACAAGAAAAATAATAAAAAAAAGACCAAAGCGAAAAAAAGTACCTGACGACAGAGAAAGGGAGAAGTATAGGGAAATGGAAAGAGACTGTGGACTAAGGAGGTTAAAAGATAAAAAGGAAAATCAAAAAGGTGGACCACCGAAGAACGCCAGCCGGATGCCACTCTGCGCGGAGTCCCCATTCTCCTTCGAAGAACCGTGTTGTGACATACACGGGGAGATCACTATGGGCTGGCAGAAAACAGGGTTGATAATAACAATGAAGAAATCGGTTTTGGCATCAGCTCATGGGGGGGGAGTAAATCATTTCGCAACAGCGGAGCTGTGAATATGTTAGTATGTTTGGATCTTCATATGATGGACTCGGTGATGGCATAAGGCTTACCTCAGGACTTGAGTCCGGAAGAAAGCACCCTTTGTCTTCTCAATGACCTGTTGGTACACTGATTGAGGGGGGGTGGTTCATGATAACAGTGCCCTCCTGGTAGTCGATCTTGGCATCGACACGGGTGTCGCGGATCAGGTTGACGATCCACTTCTCACCCTCGTCCTGGCTGAGACCCAAACGAGTGGACAGATCCCTATTGATGAGGTTAGATATCATGTGACTTGGTTTGATGCTGATCCCTTCAGCCCCGCCTCCTCAAAAAAAAAAGGACTTACTTAATGTCGATCCGCTGGTGGATCTTGCAGTAGCTCTCGGAGATGAGGTGACGGGCAGACTCAACGAAGTTGTCCGCAGCAGAGACAAGGAAGAAATCGCTTCGCAGAACGTCCTCGGCCTCACCCAGCTTCTTTTGGGCCTCCTCGAAGTCGAAGTCAACGTAGAGAGCCTTGACGAAGTCGAGGATGGGGTCGGTGTACTCGTAATCCTCCTGGCGCACCACACGGATCAGGTCTTTCAATTGCTTCTGGTAGATACCGTTGTGCTTGTGGGGGCGGCTGCGGTTGGTGATGACGGCGGCGGCAAGGTAACGAAGGACCCAGGGGCAGCTGGTCTGGATGGTGTTGATGTAGGCGGGGGAGAAGAAGAGGTCGGTCAGGACGTCACGAGCAGCATCGTGGTTGAAGAAGGGGAAGAGAGACCAGTGGATCAACCAGGAGCGGTTGGTGAGTTGGGCCAGAGGGTTGTTGAAGAGACGGGTCTCGATAGAGTCCTTGACCTTCTGCACCTCCTCCATGGCACCCTCCCAGTTGGTGGTCAGAATCTCGGAAGCCAGGCGACCCCAGGTGGCGGAGGCGACCTTGTCGTTATCGGTGGACAGCACACGGAACTGGTAGAGCAGCTCAGCGGCATTGCCGTAAGAGCCACAGCTGTACTGGAATCGGCCGTAGTCGAACAGGCTGTTAACCATCTCGTTGGTGACACCGTGCTGTTCCTCGAGGAAGCGCAAGTTAGCAGCCTTGTCGCTGCGCAGGCCGCCCAATACCTCGTCGTCTTGGAGAAGTTCAGAGATCTTCTCGCTCTGGTCCTGGTAGTGTTGCAGCTTGGCCAGAACCTCCTCGCGCTTCTTAACGAACTCGTCGGGAATGGAGTCGGAGTTGTTGATCTCTTGCCACAGGTTGGCGACGTAGTCGGTCATGTTGGTGTGCTTGAGCAGCTCGTATTTGGCGCGAGTGATTTCATTGTCGTCCTCATCGTTGCCGGCGCTGAACTCGAGAAGCGGGAAAACCAGGTGGCGGTCGAGATAGGGGATCAGGCGGGGTAGAAGGTCGTACTGAGGAGCGATGTCGGTGGACTGAGCGCCGCTGAGCATTTCGGCGGAGGGAGGGGCGTTGGCAGCCATGATGGATGGTTCAAAGACACGGTCTTTTACCTCTTGTTGAGTCGACGCTTTGAATTTCACACAAATTGTGTGCGGGAGGGTCACCGTGCGCTAAGCCGCTTTAGGTTACAGGGCGGTGTGACCGGCAGAATGCGCGCCCGAAGAAACCTGCTTCTCCTCAGCGGCATCTGTTGATTTCCCCAGGTCGGTTTCTCTTCTTTTTCCTCAACCTCCAGTTCTGCCCTTTCCAGACCCTGAAATGGCGTCGATTCGGCATTCAGCTTCGGCCGCTTCGACTGTGTGCAAGCAGACCGCCAACGCCTGCGTGGCTCGGCCCGTGGCTTCCGTACAGACATACAACCGGGCTGCTTCATTATCTTCTCCGGCACGATTCGCAGCTTGTAAGTTTGGATTCTCGCTATTCTTTGATCTCTCTCGACAGTACTGTGTCAAGCATGATCACATATCTTGCAATGTGCAACGCTGCAGAGTATGCGGTGGTGGTTGTCAACTACCCATCAGATATCATATCACCACCGCCGTCTCACTCGAAATCTCGAAAAATTGGAGAGAAAAAAAAAGCACGCGCTAATCTGGATTTTCTTTCCCAAACAGCTTCTTCCCTCCAGTCATCACAGCGCCTGACCTCCATCTCCTCTTCTCCCGTCACCCACCAAACCCGCACGTTCCTGACGCAACTCCGCCGTCAAGCGCAGGCCTTGAAAGAGCAAATTCCCTCAACCCCGACTATCCCTAAAGCCTCCAAGCCCGCTCCTTCTCTCAAGCTCACCAACCTCCCATACTTTGTTCGCCGCACTGGATCCAACCAGCTGCCTGTCTACGTTGTCACAAAAGCTGGTGGTACCAAGCAACTCACCAAGATCCAGAAAACCGAGGGTGACCTGGACACCTTGCGCACCGACCTGGCACAAAGCCTAGGCGTGGACATCCGTAGCCCTGATGTTTCTATCAACCGTCTCACTGGCCACATCATCGTCAAGGTACTTTCCTACCTCTAGCAATGCTTTTATATCATCTGATAGATAAAGCGAGTGGTATATCGAGCAGCAGAACTAACGTATCACCTTTCCTCTAGGGCTGGCGCAAACCCGAGATCGTGAAGTTCCTCAGCGAGCGTAACTTCTAAACAATACCTTGCATTCGATCATACCTCCTGCCTTACCGCGACTGAAAAATGTCGCTGGTATCGCACTACCCGACTGAACGAAAGGATCGCAGCAGGACCGCAAAGCACAGGAAACAAAAGCATGTGTCGAAGTGACGAAAGAAGAAAAAGGAAGAAAACCTCATTTTTCGATTTGATGTCATTGACCCAGGCCCTTGTTGGCCGGGTAGATGGACGGTTCCCCTTTCCTTCTTGATTCCCCTCTTCCCTTGGTGTATTTTTTAATCTCAATTCTGGGGTCATTTCTGATTTTTTCTCGTTTTACCCTGCCGGTGTCCTGATTTTCTCCTCTTTTCCCCTTTCTCTTGTCTGGCCCTACGTTTTCTGGCGCTATCTCTTCTTTCTCTTTGATTTTGCCCTGTACTATTCCTATCTGTACAGTCTGATGAGATGTTGGGTGTAGACCCTGATTCTCCTAATTGAATGAATCCATGCATCGTCAACTTCTACTTGTCACAACGACTGTACAGATGTACGGTGCCCGCCTATACTACTGCATCGACTCATTACTAGATTGGTATAGATATCCAGATCTCTCGTATTCAGTCGAGGGTATTTTGAGATTGTACACTGAAGAACATAGCTCGCTATCTCACATGGCAAAACAAAGACAAGAAGAGAGAAAAAGAAGAATTCAAAGAAGCACCCCAATTTCCACCGGCGCCCAAAAATACCAAGATTGACTAGGCCATTGCCCAGAGACATGAGTACAAATGACATGACAGAAATCAAGAAAGAAGAGTGAAATTGTCGTAGATGCAACGTGCAAAGCAACCAATTGTCATCCGTGCATGAGAGTGTATGTTCTTCACTTACTCAGCGAGTCGAGCATAGCTGACGAGCTGACGGATGATATTCGGGTCCATGTTCGGGAGTAACAAGGCTCCGAGAAGACTCTCTTTGCGAGGAGTGATCCCGGACGGGAAGCAAAGTGAGGAGGATTTGTCCACTTGCTTAGACTTTTCTGCAAGGCGGCGCAGAATGGCCAGTCCACGGTGAACAAGTGCTCCAAATGCATATGCTTCGGGTTCTTGTGATCGTTGGCGCATGTTGATCTGCGGGATGCGGTCCGTGCATAGGGCGCAGGATAGTCGGAGGAGATGAATGGCGAAGCCATCCACAGACCCAAGCCACGACTTAGCCATAGGCCCGTCCGCGAATGAAGTCAGCACATCGGCGGCCAAGAGACCCTGTAGAAGAAACACCTTGCGAGCATCCACGACCGCTAGAGCCTTATTGTGAGGAACACAGGATATCGCAAGTCCAAATGCACGCGTCAGTAGCTCTGGCTGAGGCGGTGCAGAGCCATCACCAGAGAATATGGCAGCGAAGTATGCCCGGTTTGGATCATCCCTTGCAAGTAGCTTGGCGAGACCGTCGACAGCAGCGGGGGTGTAGCGGTGGATGGAGGGATTGAACTCCGAAAACATAGCTTGACCTTGTTTTGAGGTGGCTTCGGGCAATGGTGAAAACGCCAAAAGGAAATGCAAAAGACTCAACGCTTCTTCCTTTCCAGGTATTTGCATGGAATGGGCTAGATTGCCCATGAAAACGACAGCATCTTTCATTAAGTTCAATGTGTTTTGGTCACGTCGCAAAAACATCTTCCGGGTACCAATGTTTCGGAAGATACTAGCAAAGCATTGAGTGACTGCAGGCATCCCCAAAACTCCAAAATTCGATTCACTGAAGGAGAAGTTGCGCAGAATCGTCGTAACGCAGATGAGTCGTTCCACCGCTCGGTCAAGCTCATAATCAAGACTTCCAAACTCAGGCACATCTGCAAGCGATGCGTGTTCAGAGTGGCAGCCTCTGACCACTTCCTCGTAAGAACGGAGAATCATCGTATCCGAGGACTCTGGAATGTTCTCAGCCAGGAAGTCTGCTTGATCTTCAGCACAGTCAACAAGGCTCTCCACCAGATCATCGCAGTTCTCAAGCGAGATTTGCACCTGTGGCTCACAGGAAAGGGTGGTCAGGGTATCGAGAGATACGCGAATCTCGGAATGGATGCCTGACTTCAAGCCCATGGTAAGTGCATGGATATCAATCACACCGAGTTCGGCGAAGCTTGGTGCTATTGGCCGAAGCCTTGAGATATCATCGCCGATCTGGTACATCTCGTCCACAGCAATAGGCCCATGAAGACGTCTTTCTGTGAGAACCATGGGCTTGAATGTATCCTCTATGGGGTTTTTGACAAACTCTTCCACTTTTTGCTCTGGTTGCCTGGGTTGTGTTTTGGGTGTTGGTGGTGCGCCCTTTGTTTGTTGTGACGGCGAGGGCGCGGTGAATTGTCCTTCCGGCATAGGAACTGGAGGCTGAGATGGGCGGGAAACACTAAGTCGCTGTCCAGACTGGGGAGGCTTGCTCTGGCTTCTGGCTTGTGTTGGCGTGGCGAAACCATTGGCCTGAGTGGTTTGAACATGATTGGCGACGGGAGTGTTGTTTTGAGGAGAGTGATTAATTTGTTGAGGCTGCTCGAAAGTCTGACCTGGTTTGACTGTGGGCGACTGAAACTGCTGCATGGCCGCAGGGTCACTGGGCTGGCGCGGCATGCCGCCCTGTTGCATCTGGTCGAACTGTTTCTGCTGCGAGCCGAGGTATGCTTGTTCGTACGCTGCTAAGTTCCGCTGGTGGTAGTCTCGCACTTCGTGTGCAGCTGAAGGAAATTGCATCTGAGGAAATTGAAGTTGTTGTGCAACTGCAGGCCACATATTCATCGCAGCGACCTTCTTGGACCCACCCATCTTCATAACGGTTCCATAAAGCTGCACCAGATTGATCGGGCGGCCACAAATAACCGGACTAGGGTCAAAGGGGAGGTTTCTGGACATCATGAACTTCTGTAGGCCACGCAGAAACATCTCAGGGTTGTTAGGTTTCGGCATGTTTTGTTGCATTTGACGAATGGCCGCCATCTGCTGAGGATTGGCCATAGCATTCATGCCGCCGGGGCCAGGACGGCCAGCCATCTGAGGGTTCATATTCATCTGCTGGCTTGGCATCTGTTGACCGGGCATTTGCTGTCCGGGAATTTGTTGCCCTTGGTTCTGCATTTGCATAGCACGCAGTCTTTGCTGCTGGGCGGCTATCGCTTGGTGGTATTGCGGTGGCATTTGTTGCATGCCATTGAGCTGCTGCTGCGGCATAGAGGGTTGTTGGCCTTGGTTCATTCCCGGAGCTTGCTGGAATTGACCAGGCATTCCCTGAGGGTATGCTTGACCTGGCATAAAGTTGTTATTCTGTGGGGTGTTCACACGGCTTCCATGATCTGACTGTGAGGGAGACATGTGTGAGCCGCCGCCGCCGACATGTGGGCCAGCTGGCGAGAAAGGACTTGGGGATGCCGTTCCCACCCGAACACTTCCTTGATCGAAGTCTTGCTGCATGATAGGCGACTGTGTTACATTAGGCGACGCGGTCTGTTGTTGAAGGTGCTGATAAGGAGTAGGGTGTTGCGAAAACTGCGCTGCGCCATTGGCACCTCCCTGATATCCTGGGTATGGAACTTGATGAGGAGTTTGCGATCGCGAGCCATTCACGCCGCCAGGTCCTGGGCGTGGCGACATTGGCATCCCATCTTCTGGTCGAGGCCGCTTCGATGGGATCACTTGGTTGGGGTTGTGGAAGCCTGGCGAGGCATTCCGCGGCACACCATTGTTGAACATGCGCTGAAACTGATTAGGATCCTGAGGGGTTGGCGAGGCATGGAGGAAGGCGGCCGAAGGGTCGATCGTTGAAGGATTAAAGGCCCCATTCTCCTGGCCAGGGATGTTCGAGGCGTCGGCGAGCCAGGCGTTCATGTCGTGCGATTCTACCAACCCATCTGTACAGGGAGACCCGGTCAGTAACACACAAGACAATGGGGGTGGCGCGCCGTCATCGCGAATGGGCAGGATGACGCAGATATCATCTCAATCATCTAAGACGAGTAGGATCTGGACCGCCGATGACTATCCCCAACTATGCAAACGCGTCCGGTGGGGATGTTTAGGGTCTGCGCGCTCGGTCGCGACACGCTCCCGGGGTGGCTCAGACGAAAGAAGGAAGAACCAACATCTCCCACACAGGAAAAGATGGGGAAAGTGGGGGGAAAGGGAAGAAAAAAAGGAAGAACAAGAGATGTATACATACCGACAAGGCTAGATCACTGGAATTCCCGACTTGTGAGCGGATGGCTAAGCCCGGTATCCGGAATTAGCAGCTGGGGGTGGTGGTGGTGAGGTAGGAGTATGGTCACGTGTTTTGGGGGCCTGAGGCGACGAAAAGTACACCACGGCGTTGATGGGATTACGGCTAGGCTAGGCCGGCGTGAGGGGAGAGGGAGGGTGGAGGGGGGGCTAGGCCGGTCAAGACTGGAGGGTGGGAACAAATCCGAAGCAACTGCTGATCTCTGAGGCCACGATAATGACTGTTTCGGGCCGAGCCAGAAAAGAGGGCAGACAGTGCGTCTGGACGAAAGGGGGGGGGTCAAGGGGGGGGGGAACCGTATGGGGGGAACCAGGGAGTGGGGGGAAGGGGATGGACGTGGTAATGGGTAGACCAAAAAGAAAAGCCAACGGTCGAATAGCGTACCTTGAAAATGGTAAAGGCAAAAGCGCGCAGTTAGGGGAGCTCAAAGTGGCAGTGGAGAGTGGTAAGGATGGAAAAATACTCTGCGCATACCGGAAGGGCCTTGCTCTGTCCGCCCCAACCCTTGCTGGACCAATCCCCGTACCACCTAATACCGTACTGTATTTCCTAGTGCATCACCCCGTTTCTGATTCTTTTTCTGCTTTCTGTTTTCTTTTCTTATGCCCCCTTCTCTTGAATTCTTCAGTTAGTTTTGATCATCCATTTGTGGTTCTTGTTGGTGGTTAGCCGTATTGTTTTACTATGGCTCGTCATGACGTTAGTCACGGGTCTCGGCAGTCTTGCTCACCCCCCCCATAGAGTTGTCAGAGTTGACATGGAACATGGGCCAATAATCATCACATCACCAAAGAATATGACTCTTTTTCTTCTTCTTTCTTTCTCCCTTTCATGATTTTCAAAGATCAGTTGAGGGATGGAAAGATCTGAAACTCGTCCCACGTTCGTAAAATAGCCAAAGGTCCATTTCAACGGTCTTCGCCCAGTCAGGTTAGTCTCTATAGTCCCTCCAAGTCGGGTAGAGCAGCACTCCACTGGGTGCCGGTCGGCACATCACATCCAGGAGAGCCATGGAAATCGAGTGATAAAGAAAGGAGAAAAGCAAAAGAATATATCTTCCGAATTCAATCAGGGGGGAGGGGGAGCGAATCAAATAATTTGGGAAAGAGAGGGAGAAAAAGAAAGGGCTAGAATCAGGCACAGTGGTGGGCGTCGCTCCCCTATATAAAAGATCGGGCCTAGCGTCTGATAATCATGACGAGTATCCAATCCTCCGACGGTCACCAACAGGAAAATTTTCAACAAGGGCAAGTCACAGAGAGCTAACCAAACCACAGATGAAGATTGACAGTCAACCCCCCGCTGAGAGTGGCCCAGGTTCCTCTCTCGCTCGTGCAAGGATCCGAGTCGATCCGCATGGGAAAATCGCGATGGTTCACTGTGCCTGTCCCACCTAACTGTGGCCCGGCTGGCTCCACCGCCGTGATTGGGTCTTCGTACCCCAGGGCTCAGGCCCAAGCGGATGTGAAAGGTGTACTAGTAGTATACTAATAACGAGAGGTCATTCCCTCGGTTGGTGCAGAGAGCTCGTGTGAAATCAGCCGTGTCGTGATGTGTCCAGGTGGACGGGGTAGGTGCTGCAGTGGCAGATAGTATACATGATCACTAGTAATACCATGTACGGAGGACTACTATTCCACTGGCAGTCTCTATGTACATTTCAACTCAGCGATACGTCTGTTTGGGCCGAGGGCTGAGTTGTCCTCGAAGTTTAAGAATGTGTAATAGTATATTTTTAGGTTATTGGATCTCGTGAAAGAAATACCGGAAACGATCGCCTTCCCTGCCTTTCTCTCACTTGTTTTGCAAGTTGCCAGCTATCCTGAAAACCTCAGGGGACTCGTCTGTTGTACTAGATGCGTAGGACTTTTCAATCGTTCATGCTCAGGTAGTAATATATACGAGGAGGCATATGTTGTTGAATTCTAAGGAGTGACCTGGGTATTTGGAATTTAGTATGCTCCGTACACGGTGTGGTGTAGGAAAGAGTTCAAGTTGGTGGACGAGAATGCGTAGCCCTGATCTGGGAGTACAGATATAGAAGTGAGATTACACGGCAGGTGGCAAATATATGAGGCACAAAGGAAATAGAGAGAGTGGATGGTAGGGATGTAGGAGGGGAAAGAGAGAAAAAAGAGGAATTTGGCCATTGTTAGGAGCAGGCTCGTTTTGCTTTTGTTTAGTTAGATCCCTGAGGCCTCGATGGACTAGTCACGTGATTTGTTACTGAAGCTCCCCGGCGAAGCAAGCTCCCCCCCCAAGGACCATCACCGGCCCATCTGCATCGCGCATCTCCAACACCTTCACGACCTTCCATCCCCACAAACCCATCGAACTCCATTTTATCTGATCTCTTCTGATTCTAATTGTCTCCACCTCCACCATGGGAGACGTTGCCGTGGAGAGCCCGGCGAACAGCCTCACGCCTCTTCCCAAGCCAGGCGCACTGGACGCCCTCGCGAACTTGGATTCCCTGGAAGGAGCGGGCGCGGATGGAAATGATGAATACGCTACTCTTAAACGGTTACAGAGACACCTAGAGTAGGTTGCACGGAGCGTGTGGAATGATAGCGATACTGACGCCACCTAGATACATCCAGTTGCAGGAGGAATACATCAAGGATGAGCAAAGGCATGTTATCTCTGCAAATTCGACACGGAGGATCTGTGAACTGACTGTCTTGGTGAATACAGAAGCTTGAAGCGAGAGCTTGTCCGGGCACAAGAAGAGATCAAGCGGATACAGAGTGTGCCGCTGGTTATCGGGCAATTTATGGAGGCTATCGATCAGAAGTATGCTTGTTCCTTCTTGCTACCAGATGAAAGATTCACGTTACTAATGTGTCATTCTGCTAGTACTGGTATCGTGCAAAGCTCCACCGGATCTAATTACGTTGTTCGCATCCTGTCTACACTCGACCGTGAGAAGCTGAAGCCATCGTCATCGGTCGCCCTGCACCGTCACTCCAACGCCCTCGTCGATATTCTTCCCCCTGAGGCCGATTCATCTATCGCCATGCTCGGTGACAGCGAGAAGCCAGATGTGACCTATGCCGATGTTGGTGGTTTGGACATGCAGAAGCAGGAGATTAGGGAAGCCGTCGAATTGCCGTTGACACACTTTGATCTCTATCAACAAATTGGTAAGCAAGAGGGATTTTGTTATCAAGTTTGTAAGATTTTGCTGACACCTCTTAGGTATTGATCCTCCCCGCGGTGTCTTGCTGTATGGCCCTCCCGGTACCGGTAAGACCATGCTTGTCAAGGCCGTGGCCAACAGCACAACCGCCAGCTTCATCCGCGTGAACGGTTCCGAGTTCGTTCAGAAGTATCTAGGTGAAGGACCTCGAATGGTTCGCGACGTGTTTCGGATGGCACGCGAGAACTCACCCGCTATCATCTTCATTGACGAAATCGATGCCATTGCCACGAAGCGTTTCGATGCTCAGACTGGTGCCGACCGTGAGGTGCAGCGTATCTTGCTGGAATTGCTGAACCAGATGGACGGTTTCGAACAGACCAGCAACGTCAAGGTCATCATGGCCACCAACCGAGCGGATACTTTGGACCCTGCCTTACTTCGTCCTGGTCGTCTGGACCGCAAGATCGAATTCCCCAACCTGCGTGATCGACGTGAGCGCCGTCTGATCTTCACCACCATCGCGTCCAAGATGTCTCTATCTCCCGAGGTGGATCTTGACTCCCTGATCGTCCGCAATGATCCCCTTTCTGGTGCCGTGATTGCTGCAATCATGCAGGAAGCCGGTCTACGGGCAGTCCGCAAAAACCGATACAACATCATCCAGTCCGACCTGGACGATGCCTATGCCGCCCAGGTAAAGAGTGGCCAGGATGATGACCGGTACGTCTTTTTACTCCCCACGTGCCCTGTTCGTGTTACTGATTATTTTACAGTCCCGACTTCTACCGGTAAGCTATTGGCCCTTTGGGGCTGGGTGGACGCAGGTGGTAAAAGCTTGACCTCGACTGTTGTATTATCAATAATCTGTGATACTTGGGAATACATTTATGATTCATCTTTTGTGTCATATTTATTGTGCTTAAATACTCCGTCTCGATGCGGAGGTAGCGTAGAAGATTTCGGAACCTTGGGGCAACCTTGGGAGAAGATATCCGATCGACCAAGGAATGAGATGGCGGAGACGGGCCACCCTAGGCTAGTATTGATAAGACTAGTTGACTTGCCTTGCTTCGTAATCTGTAGTCCGTACGGAGCACGGAATTCATCAATCACTCTAGTTGCCTAACATAGGCGCCTTCACTCACAAGCACACCTTCGCCCTGGCCCCTCGCCACCTCCGCCTGCCAGGCACACGGCGCTAGGCAGCCCAGCCTCCTCGTCAGCTGCACCCCTTCCCGGGATTGAAACTCAACTCTAGCTAAGCTCGTAAAGGGGAATTCAGGAGAAAGCTGTTGAAGCTGGACTTCTTTTGTAACCCATCAAAATAAGAGAGGAATTTGATAGCAATTCAATGCATAGTCTTTGATTTCTGTAGGGAAAACGGCGGAATGTACCCAGGTTCAAGACCAAGACCAAGACCAGACCAGACCGGGTGTAACCCACTCCGGCAGCAGCTGATTTTGGGGGAATGACGCACTCCCGTCACGTTATGCCGATCGAACAGGCTCCGCCCCCAGCCCAGTCTTATCTTCCTCACCTCCTCTCCATCGTTATCATCCCACACTCTCTCCATCCAGTCTCATCATGAAGTCCTTCGCTCTTCTGACAGCCTCCGCGCTGTTGGGCAGTGCCTCTGCGGAGGTCCACAAGCTTAAGCTCAACAAGCTCCCTCTGGAGGAGACCCTGGTAAGGAGTCTACCCGTTACCCCGACATAGTGGAACTGGAGATGTCTAACCCGCCCCCAGAACGTCCACAACATCAACGACCATGTCCAGGCTCTCGGCCAGAAGTACATGGGCTACCGCCCTGGTCACCACGAGGACTCTGTCAAGGATACCTCCTTCAAGCCCGCCTCTGGCCACGACGTCCTGGTAGACAATTTCCTGAACGCCCAATGTAAGTATCATCACCATCATCATCAAACAACCCCTTCCTCAATGCAGAGATAAGGCAACGATACCTAACATTTCCATCTAAGACTTCTCCGAAATTGAAATCGGTACCCCTCCCCAGACCTTCAAGGTCGTTCTCGATACAGGCAGCTCCAACCTGTGGGTCCCGTCCTCGGAGTGCAGCTCGATTGCCTGCTTCCTTCACAGCAAGTATGACTCTTCTTCCTCGAGCACCTACAAGAAGAACGGCACCGAATTCGCCATCAAGTATGGCTCTGGTAGCCTGAGCGGCTTCGTCTCTCAGGACACCCTGAAGATCGGCGACCTCAAGGTTGAGAAGCAGGACTTCGCCGAGGCCACTGAAGAGCCTGGTCTCGCCTTTGCATTTGGCCGTTTCGACGGTATCCTGGGTCTCGGATATGACACCATCTCTGTCAACAAGATGGTTCCTCCCGTCTACAACATGCTGAACCAGGGCCTCCTGGACGAGCCCGTCTTCGCTTTCTACCTGGGCGACGCCAACAAGGAGGGCGATAACTCCGAGGCTACCTTTGGTGGTGTGGACAAGGACCACTACACTGGTGAGCTTATCAAGATTCCCCTCCGCCGCAAGGCTTACTGGGAGGTCGACCTGGACGCTATCACCTTCGGTGACAGCACTGCCGAGCTGGACAACACCGGTGTCATCCTGGATACCGGTACCTCGCTCATTGCTCTACCCTCCACTCTCGCTGAGCTCCTGAATAAGGAGATTGGTGCCAAGAAGTCCTTCACTGGCCAGTACACTGTCGAATGCAGCGCTCGCGACAGCCTGCCTGAGCTCACCTTCACCCTGAGCGGTCACAACTTCACCATCGGTCCTTACGACTACATCCTCGAGGTCCAGGGCTCCTGCATTAGCAGTTTCATGGGCATGGATTTCCCCGAGCCCATGGGCCCTCTGGCCATTCTGGGTGACTCTTTCCTGCGCCAGTGGTACAGCGTCTACGACCTCGGCAACAACGCCGTTGGTCTGGCCAAGTCTAAGTAAATCTGATGCTCAGAATCGCAATGCCCATGGGCCTCGTGGTTGTCGATGAGGAGAACAAACAAGAGTCAGGGCGATGTTATGTAAATACATCGCATGTGGCTTCAATCGGTTGATATGAAGACCGCTCGACATCCCCTAGTTGCTCTTAGCATATGTTGAGGAGTAGCTTTGCTTTACTTTGCCATCACGCTCACATCCTGGGCTTGCTCTTTGATGATACTGCAAATTGATTGTCTCGCTGAGCAGGGTTTGTTTGATATGCATCTTTTTATTCATTTGGCTCCGATCAACCAATGTTTTTTCTTCGGGTTTATTTTGCACTGAATTTCATCTTCTCGAATAAGCAACAAGCAATATGCGTAATATGTCTCCATCCGATAGGCCCGGCGAGCCGTAGATCCTGCCTCGTAAGCTCCTCTAGCTGTAACGGTCACGGTCACGACTGTAGTGCAGCAGACCAGTGGTAATAACCAATCATGAATTTCAATTGAATCTAGGCTATCTACTAGAGGGCCATTCGGAGGCACCTGAAGATATAAGGCTGTCAAAAACTCGACAAAAATAAAACTCCAGATATGAAGTGACAAGATATCTCGAAAATGACCTCAAAGGTTCTAAAGAGTACCTTTGGATGTTGACATCACTCTCAGCCATGAACCGAAATCTGGGGTGAGGCGAATTTGCCCCAAGTGTTGGAAGTTGACATAAGCGGGAAGCTCGCAGTCCCCGCACGTCGAGAGCTCTGCCCTGTCCGGACCACACACCGCAAACCTGTTCTCTCACCTTTATCCTTTCTGTCAAACTCACCTTTCTTGTTTCAGCGCCTGGCCCATTTCCCATGCTCCGTCTCTGAAAGTTCACGTGCCAGGTCGTGTAAGGCGCACCTCTTTACTCTTTGTCGTGTGGCGAAACCGGCTATCCGACAACCCCAGGCTACAACCCTTGCAGTTTCGCGCCTTTCATCCTCAATCTCTCTCAAAGAACCCTCTCGACTTAAGGCTGACCTTGACGACTCTTTTGAACCGGCATTTCTCCCCTCAACGCTAGCACTGATCGGGCTCTTCTCACGCGTCGCGTGTCGGTTATGGCTCGGTAGCCCGACTCGCACGCGATCAACCTCATACGCACTCTCGCGCCCACAAATTGCGCGGAATCCGTCTGCTTCCACAATCGGAGGAAGATCTCAAACAGGAGGGATTGGATTATTGGGCAGAAACGTGATCTACGTCGCCCGGGGGCGAACTGAGAGCAACCATGCTTCTCCGTTTGCCGACTAGTCTGCACTATCCCATCACCGTCACCTCACTACTGAAACAGGCGGGTGACAAGGTCGAGCGGGATGAGGCTATTTTCTGGTATAGTTATCAGACCACAGTCGAGGAAGGTGATGGACTGGGAAACAAGGTGCAGGTGAAGCGCAAGTTTCCGACACGGTTCGAATCAAACGTCGACGGCGAGATTTTGGAGTGGAAAATTTCAAAAGGAGATGTGATTGAAGGGCCGTAAGTATTGCGTCCTATCATGTATGTGTACTAAGCTTTGTGGACTAAACATATGCACCTAGACTTGATGTGGTTGAAATCGATGAACCATGTGCGCACGAGGTCCAGTTCGGAGAGCTGTGTGCGGAATGCGGAAAGGACATGACCGCGTATGTAATTTTCTGTTTCTGGATGGCAACTATTGTATACTGACGAGTTCCTTCTTGCGCAGAGCCACCTACAATACCGAAGTAATGGACTCGATGCGCGCTCCTATCAAAATGACCCACGACAATACCACACTTACTGTTAGCGAGAAAGAGGCTACTCGGGTGGAGGAAGATGCGAAACGTCGTCTCTTGGCATCTCGGCGCCTCTCACTCGTCGTGGATTTGGATCAGACCATCATCCATGCCACGGTTGATCCAACCGTGGGAGAATGGAAGGAAGACAAAAACAATCCTAATCATGAAGCCCTCAGAGATGTCAGGCAATTTCAATTGATTGACGATGGCCCTGGAATGCGCGGCTGCTGGTACTATATCAAGCTACGACCTGGGCTAGAGGACTTTTTGGAGAAAGTTGCCGAGCTGTATGAACTCCATATTTACACCATGGGTACTCGTGCATATGCACAAAATATTGCCGATATTATCGACCCTACGCGCAAGCTCTTTGGTGACCGCATCCTCAGTCGTGATGAGAGTGGCAGCTTGACCGCCAAAAACCTGCATCGTCTATTCCCCGTTGACACTAAGATGGTCGTCATTATTGATGATCGTGGTGATGTCTGGCGGTGGAGTCCCAACCTCATCAAGGTTTCTCCCTATGACTTTTTCGTTGGAATCGGTGATATTAATTCCAGTTTTTTGCCGAAAAAGCAAGAGATCGGCGCAACAAACAAACTAATCAAGGCGGCAAAAGAAAAGGAGTCGCAGGACCATCATCCCAACGGTACAGCTGCGAAGCCCGAATCTGAGACGGAAGTCTCTGCATTGCAACAGCTGGTTACTATGGGAGGTGGCGACAACCCAAGACTACTGCACGAACAGACCAATGAGCAAGAAGAGGCAATCTTGCACCAAGTAGAGGACCGACCACTACTCCAAAAGCAAAAGGAACTGGAAGCTGAAGACGAAGCTTCTCCCGAGAGTAGTGAGACTCCCAGTGTGGAAGAGTCACAAGAGTCCAACAAACATCGCCATCATTTGCTTGAAGACCATGATAGAGAGCTTTTCCAGCTCCAAGATCGACTAGAGCAAGTTCATCTACAGTTCTTCGATGAATATGACAGGAGGAGATCCCATGCTATTGGAGGCCGCGTGGCAGCTCTTAGAGGGGAGAGAACACTGTCTAAAGATAGGGATGTTGATTTGAAACTTGTTCCTGACATCAAAGATATCATGCCGATGTTCAAGCGCGGAGTTCTCGGGGGAGTGGTTCTGGTATTTTCCGGGGTTCTTCCCCTTGGAACTGATACCCAAAATGCCGATATTTCGCTGTGGGCTAAGAGCTTCGGTGTGGCTATCGCATCTAAGATTAATGGTCGTACCACTCACCTTGTTGCCGGGCGCAACCGTACTGCGAAGGTGCGTGAAGCTACTCGATATCCGAATGTCAAGATTGTCTCAACACAATGGCTTCTGGACTGCCTAGTTAGCTGGCAGCACTTAGATGAGGACCCATACTTACTCCACATCCACGATGATGACCGTGCCGAGCCTCTTTCTCCCAATTCGCGAGAGCTCGTGGAGAGCTCGTGGATCTCCTCTTCAGATGAAGCCACAGGGGCTTCACTTTGGACCGATGAAGAGGGCAATGGCAATGATCGGGAAATTTTCCAATCCGCTGGACTCACAGAGACCTCGCACATTGGATATGACGAAGACGAGCAAGCTGCTGTCCACGACGAACTGAAAGACTTCCTCGGCAGCGACGACGAGAGCGAAAGTGACAATGAAGTCTTGGGCGACGAAACCAACACCGGCGGGACGAAGCGTAAACGCGGCGACGGTGATAGCGAAGCAGGCGATGAATCAGCTGAAGATGACGACGATGAGAACGACCAGAAAGGCTCACGCCTTTCCCAAAGAATTAAGCGTTCCTATGAGAGGAGCACGGGATTGCGGGAAGTCGCGACAGCCTCAAGTTCGGAATTGGGCGAGACTCGTCCAGAGCATGTTCGCCCCTCCGGACCCTATGAGGATGAGCCTGACGTGGAGAACGTAGGGACCAGTCGCGATGACGCCGAAGGGCTCCCTGAGAACCCCGACGACGACGATGACGAGTTTGAGCGCGAGATGCTCGCCGCATTTGAAGACGACTTCGACGACAATGCTGAAGGCGACGATATGGCGGATGAGTAGTCCCTCTCAGTGAAACCCACCGCGCGTTTGCTCCCTATCTCTTGTTTCGTACTCACCGTTCTATCTAACCTCCATCTGGCCGTATCTGTCCTCTGCCATACTGATATGTGCAGTTGCGATGCGCTCCCGGCATAGCGGCGGCGTTTGTCCGTGATACTTCTTCTCTACTTGTGTATTTTCTGCCTACAACACGCTTAGGTTTTCTACAATCTACGGCTTGTATTGAATACAGGTGCTCAAGGCTCTGTCATGTACTATTTCCCGGAATTTGATCCTGCCTTGAAACCCGCTCTCTTTTGTAGCCGCGTACGTGAAATCCTGATCGTGGCCAGTAGTCTATGGACCCAGAAAGCGTAGTGATTCGAACTAGGTCGAAAGTCTCAGGGCTTTGGTATTCTGAATTCAAGTTCTTGAACTTTTTGCGCCTTCGAAACCCTGGAGACTTGTTCTTGAGACCTGGACCGCTCCGGGCAGTGGGGCCATGGAGTACTGGGCAGCTCCGAGGCATGGCTAGACATCCCCAGATTGTACCCCGGAAGATGAAGATCTTGGACCCTCCACTATTATGAAATCCCCACAGCCAGGAACACTCCGTAGGGCTCGGAATGGTCGCGGTGCTTAAATATCGAGGACTAGGAGGACGTCAACAAACCTCATGTTAAATCGCAACCGTCGCGCACACCAGAAGCTATCTCGTGATCATGGTCTTTGAGAGTCACTATCTGAACCCTCTCCCAGCATGGCTGAACTCTACAGCTGCCAAATGGGCCTGGGTATCACTGACTGCATTCGCCAATCTGCCGGGCCAGTTCAATCGAACCGTCTTCGATGCCCCATGGGCAACAGACACAGAAAATTCAATACTATCAAAGACGTGAGTTAGTTTGACTTCAAGATGACCTCGATCTAAATCGGAAAATTCTGCAGACTAAACCACGTCAACACTACCGACTTCGTCGCCTACGACGAACGCTTCTTCGAGATCATCGGCGCAGACACAACAATCAAGCACATCCAACATCTCGCCTACCAATCCCACGAAGCACCATGCTATATCCCCGAAACAAACCAACTACTCTTCGTCGAATGGGGTAAACCAGGCGGCGACGACGGTATTCACAAATGGCAATACCTCCTCGATATCGAAAACAATACCCTTCGAAAGATCATCACCAACCCACCAACCTACAACCTACACGGCTGTGTCCATTTCCAGGGCCAGCTGTACGGCGTCACGGACGGATATGGAGACAATGAGACGGGAAAGCTCGTTCAAATTGACCCGCACTCGTGGAAGGCAACGACACTGTTGAATAACTTCCTCGGTCAGCCCTTTGCCGGATTCAATGATCTGGAAGTTGACCCGGAAGGGAATTTCTGGCTGACGGATTCGAAGTCTGGCTGGGTATGTGAATGCATTTAAGCAACGAAGAATGTCGAATCTAACGTTTCTTATGCATAATAGGGCCGTGGGATCGTTGACTTTACACCTCCCAACGACCCCTCAATCTACTTTGTCAACGGAACTACCATGCAAGCAAAGGTAGTATGGACAACCAGCGGCAACGCAAATGGCGTGGCCATGGGCCCTAATGGGAGAACACTGTACGTGCCGGACTCGGGTGTTTCGGAGTTTCGACCGTCGTATAAGAACCCTTACGGTCGCCGGATGGTTTGGGCTTTTGATGTTGTGGGCCGAGGCGCTGTTTTGGCTGGCCAGCGATTGTTCACGAGTCCTGTTTCATACTTCTATGATGGGATTCGGGTATCAGGGGAAGGCTGGGTCTTTGCTGGATCGGGGGATGGGGTTGATGTTATTGATCCGGAATCTGGGTTTGTGCTTGGCTCTATTCGGCTTGGGGGTGGAGAGAATGTTGCTGTTAGCTTGGCTTTTGGCGAGAATGAGCTGTGGATTGTTGGGAAGGGTGGTGTTTGGCATGTTAAGGATATCAAGACCAAGTTGAAGAGGGATTGGTGATATCTTTTTGACCTGTTAGGGACCTGCCCAGGTGGACTTGGAATATAATCGTCCTAGAGTTAGAAGTGTATTTAATTATTGCTTCAAATTAAATACCATGCTCTCTAACTCTAGAAAAATACGGAGAATTTTCACGTATGATTCATCTATGCTCTTCTTCTTTAGTCTTCTTGATCTGATGCAGCTCGCGAACCTCCTCATCCAGACCAGGAGCTGGTCCTTCCACAGGAATACCCGGCGCAACATCATTGATGGGCAAGGCAGCAACGAGCCCAGCCTCGATACCCAAATCCAATCTCCACTTAACAAGCTGAGCAGTAGAACTAGCGTAGACAATTCGGCCCAGTCCCACATTTGCATGGGCGGCAGCACACATCGGACAATGCTCGCCTGAGGTATAGACTGTGGCAGTGGTGCGCTCGTCCGGGGTCAAGTTTGCCTGGGCCCACTTGGCCAGTGTGAACTCAGGGTGCAAAGTGACATCTCCGTCAGTCACTGTTCTGTTGCGGTCCTCTTGGATTATCTCTCCGGATACATCGACCAGCACGGAACCGAAGGGTGCATCGCCTGCTTCGAGAGCGTCACGAGCCAACTCCACGCAGCGACGTAGATATTTGAGGTCGGTATCAGAAACCATTCTGTTTTGCTTGAGGATATGTGGAGGTGAATCAGGGTATATTCCTTGTGACGTCGTTATTGGGGTTGCCTGAGTCAAAAATGTGTCTGCAAAAGTTGTCTATTAGATATTGAGTGTAGACTTGCCACCATCCGAGACACCCTAAGATACCTAATATTATCCGAGTCGTTTGAGATATCCTCAGATCATGGAAAGAGAGATAGATGTGTATTCAGGCCTTGGAATAGCAGAGTGTAGTCACCCCGCAGTCGGGGATTACTAAAGGCGAACGGAGAAGGGTGTTATTTTTGATACGGAGAACTGCGAAAATGCCGGAACACGCCGAAATTTCCTTTTAGGAAAAAGCCAAGCCTCAAGATAGCTCTCTCTGCCAAGATACTGGTATAAACTATTTTTTTGTAGACCCAGAAGATATAATGAAATATGGTCAAATTTGTACCGCAGAATTAAATCGTAAGCGCAGCGCTAGGCAGTATGCCATGAAATGTGAAAGCTCGAACGCCACATTTTGATGCAAAATAGAAGATGGTATCACGTAAAAAGAAGAAGTGTCATGGAAGGAAAAGAAAAAAGACAGACGTGGAGTTAATGGTAGTAATTCCGGTGAACTTGCCAGCTCATTACAACCATCCAAACGTAGAATATGGTATTGACAAGCTCGAACGCGAAGGCAGTTTTCCAGCAATTGCCTGTTAGACGTGTTAGCGGATTGATCATCCCACGAATGAATACAAGGGAAAGGGTGAACTAACAAATTGTATTCTGGGTCAACCATGCCAGGGTATTGATGTTGTTTCCCCGCGACACATTATCGACCACGTAGTTTTGGCAATTGTCGTTCACGCTCCCGGCCACGCCATAAAGCTGCAATGAGGTCTCAATGAGTCCGGCCAACCATAAGACGAATAGGATGAAGCTTCCGAGAATGAGAATTCCAGGAAGTAAGAAATGTCGTGTTATAAGACCGAGGACAAGAAAGATGAAGGCGACGCCGAGTGCGCTGGTGACAACCATGTATGGGAACAGCCTGGAAGGTGATATGTAGTTAGTACAGGCCTCTTGATACCCACTATATACGAAATGCTTACCATGGCACGCCGAGATCCATTTGCGATTGAACGATCATAAACCACGAGAATATTCCGAGGCATGTCGCAGAGCCAGAGAGCACGACGATAAGCCAGATATTGAGTTGAATTTCGGGCCAATGGTAGCTGGGCCGCACCTCACGGCGCATTCGAAGAGCCATTATGTCGAAATAAAAAGGTGAAAGGAGGTACCTCTCCGTAGTCGCACGAAGCCGATGTTATTCTCCGACTTGGTTTCGAGACCTTTCCGCTCAGGTTAAGATATATACAGACTGGCGGAAGTCTTCAGCCCAATGGTACTTCGTCGCCTTGGTTGTCGCAGGATCGCTACCGATTTTCACCTGATGGCGCAACGTGATCAATTAATTTGAGACGAACAAATCGACCGGGTGGCTTCTTTCAACGGGTTGCGGAGGTGGGCGAGAGCGATAAGGTGGACAGCGCATTGGGCGCCGCTGGCGCTGGGTCGAGGGAGAGCGTCAAGAGGGAATTCGGGCACTTTGGCTTTCGCAAGACGTGTGGAATGCTGGGGTAGCTTGGCGTGGAGGAAGCGGTTGATTGTAGGGGGAGGATGGGAATGGGAAACTTGCAGAAATCAGCAGAGAGGGGGGTTTGTTGATGATCGGCGAGAAATTGGGGTGGCAGGGGATTTAGTCCGCGTCCCGCGATTGACTCCACTTCGCCAGGAACAAGAACCTACTCGTCATCGTCAAAGCTTCAATTTTTCTTATTTGATTTGCGTGCAGGTTCTCGAGGTACACGCATTTGACATGTTTAAACCATTTCTAGGAGCATCTTAGGATTGCCAGACCACAACTACTATACCTATACATACCATGGTACCTATTCCTTTAAGCAGGAGTTGACAGGATAGCAAGTGTAACATAACGGCATTAATTGATATCAGCTAGCTTCTATGTATTCCATCTTTTGAGGAATCTAAAACAAAATTACAAAAGGGTATCTCCGAGCGCACTGCGCACCAACGAGCAACCGGCACGGATAGTCTCGGCCGCACCTACAGACTCCAGGCTGGGGTTAACCTCAACCAGGTCCATGGCGACCAAGTTACCGGTCTCGTGAACACATTCACAGATAAAATCACCCTCACGAAGGGTCAGACCGCCGCGAACGGGGGTACCGGTACTGGGAGCCCACTGGGGGTCCAGGGCGTCAACGTCAAAAGAGAGATGAATGGGAGTGTCATTGCCAATGTGAGCAAGAGCCATCTCAACAACACGACCGATACCGTGACTAAGGAGCCAAGTTAGCAAGACAGGTCACTTTACCGGAGCTAGGCGTGAAGAAAGGACAAAACGAACCGGTCAATGTCGTGCATGCTGAAAGCCTTGATGCCGTTATCGCGCAGAAGCTTCTTCTCGCCACGATCGACATCCCGCAGACCAATGTAAACCAGCTTGCGAGTGCTGACAATGTGCTCATCTTGAAGCCAGCCGAAGATATCACGGCGCTCCTCCTGGGCCAACCGGGTCAGGAATGCCATGGGCATACCGTGGATGTTACCGCTATCGCTCAACTCGGGAGTGTTGATATCGGCGTGCGCATCCACCCAGATGACAGCCATTTCACGACCCAACCGCTCACGGATAGCCTTGGCTGTTCCAGACACCGTTCCGATGGCAATAGAGTGGTCACCACCGAGAGTGAGGACAAACTTGCCGTCCTTGGCATAGTTGTAGACCTGATTGCTCAGACGCTCAGTCACGGCGCTGACGGCACGGGGCTTCTTCATGCCACGGAAATCGGGGTCTTGCTCTTCGGATGGGATATCTTTTTCATAGTAGTGGACGGTGTTGTCGTGTTGGACGTCATAGTCGAGATCGTCACGGAGCTGGGTCAGAAGACCAGACTCGATGAGGGCCATGGGAGCCGCCTCGACACCCTTCTTCATCTATTGAGGTATTAGCATCCTTTGTTATACCTAGCAATGGTATGATAGCCATAGGGAGGTATTAACGGGGGGGTTTCTAGCACCCACCTGCCCTCCATTGAAGCCGACAGCTACCACACCCAGTTGGTTAGGGTGGGTGAGGAAGCGGGAGTCGATCGTAGATGGTTGCGTCATCGTGCGTTTATGTTCTGCAGTCTATTGCAGAAGTCACGAGTTTATAAATGTATGAAGGTCTTGAGGTAAAAAAGAGATCGAAGCTGTAAGAAGCTACCGTAAGGTAGGATCAAGATGGATCTGCGATAAGATAAAAGTAGAGGGGCAAAGGGCAGAAAAAAAGTGGACCAAGTCGAGAATCGAGTTGAGTGAAAGGATCAGATAGGATCAGAGATCAAGGAATGAGAATATCTGGGGAAGCCTTAGAACTTGAAGAGAAGAGAAGAAAGAGACAAAGGCCAGCTTTATATCTTTCCCCCTTTCCGACCTCCTCGGGCCCTTGTTCATTCTTGATTATCGCAGTCGCTAAAACCTGCACTTAGGGATCACGGCACTCCGCCGGCTTCTCCATCACTTCCGTTAAGTACAGGTTGAGGAGAGCCGCCCCGTTTAGTCCCACCCTACTGCCATTCCGTCTCCGAACGAGGCGCGTGCCCGAAGATATGTCGTAATGGTATCTTTTATTCGGGGTGATTTTGCTTTTGTTCATGTCAAACGCGTCTGAAGCGGTAAATGAGAGGAGGGCGCTGCAGGAACCAAAGATTATGGCGGGATTCATTTGGACTGGTTTTTTAAAGGGGCGAGTTTGGTATGGCAGAGGTTAGAAATACAGGGTATCATTGGAATTATCTATTCTATATTGTACATGGCTCTACGCTATACTTTATGCCTTCCCCAGGATAAGTTCGCGGAGAACCTCCTCGGCCTTTGGTGCCTCAACGCGGCCCTTCTCGCCCGTGCGCATCATCTGCCCCACGAACCAACCGAGTTTCCCCAGTTGATTCTTGCTGCGGATCTGCTCGACCATCTGGGGATTCTGCGCCATCGCTGTCTCCGCCAGTGCTAGGTATTCCTCCCGCGACAATGGCCGGAGCAGGAGGTTGTCCTCTTCCAGCATCTGCGGAATTGGTCGATGATCCCCCTCGAAAACCACCGCCAGGACTTGCTTTGCAGTGGGACCAGTGATCAATTTCTGCTGCAAATGGTCGACGATGTCGGCAAGAGACCGGGCCGGGATAATTTCAGAGTCCCAGGCCCGGTCTGCTTTGGTCAATAGACCGCCCAGTTCGTGCAGAACCCAATTACCCGCCATACGCGCAAAAGCAGCGCGAGTCGCGGCGTCCTGACCAGGGCGGATGGAATGGAGAGCCTCCACTACGTCTTGGTAATACTCCAAGCGAGCGCCGTCGTCCAATTCAATCAGTGGTTTGGCATCTTCGATCGGAAGACCGTACTCGGGCCCGGTAAGTTGTGCCACGAGCTGATCGGGGGCAGTGGGCAGGGTAGCCTGGAGACGCGAGATGAGGTCCTCGCCAATGACGAGCGGTGGAATATCGGGGTCTGGCATGTAGCGATAGTCCACAGCACCTTCTTTACCTCGCAGTCGGCGAGTCTCGGTACTGCCAATGGCCCATCCACGCGTCTCGCCTTCCACGACACCGCCACTTTCCAGCACAGCGATCTGGCGATTCTTCTCGGCGATAATGGCATCTTCTATCGCCTTGAAACTGCTCAGATTTTTGATCTCAGTACGCTGACCAAGCCCAGTGATGCCATCATAATGATTCTTGCCTGGTGCCTCTCCCCGCCGGCGGATGGAGACATTCACATCGGCACGAAGGCCACCCAACTCCATCCCGGTGGTCACGGCACCGCATGCTTGTAGGATCGCTTGGAGTTTTCGAACGCATGCCGCGGCCGTGGCGGGGGTATGAATCTGAGGCATTGTGATGACCTCGATCAGAGGGTGGGAGACACGATTGAAATCAAGAAGCTGCGAAGATGGAGGGTATTCTTGGGATTTGGCCGTATCTTGTTCTAACTGGACTTGTTTGATGTCCACTCGAATGCGCTCACCATCTTCGTGGGCGATACCATCATGATCGTATAGATCGACGTAACCGTTTCGTGCAAAGGGCTCTGTTGAGGAGGGGCAGGGTTAGCAATATCCTTCTCTATGTGGTATGATGAACCAATGGGAACCAATGAGAAAACCGACCATAATATTGTGTAATCTGATACCCGGATGGTTGGTCTTGGTAGAAATAATGTTTTCGATCAAACCGGCTGACAGGCTGGATATCGCAGTTCAAAGCGATTGCGGCACGGAGAGCGGGAAGAAGGGTAGCAGCTTGAAATTCCTGTGTGGCATGGGTTAGTTGACCTTCCTTTCTCGCAATGGTACATCTATCTGTATGTGCGTATGTGCGTACCGGCTGACTGCCCGGAAAGGCTAAGTCGAACAAGGCGACATTGGAATTGGGAAGGTCACTTGTGGACGTGGCAGCACCTGCGGTGTAAGGAAAGAAAAGGTTAGATACGTGGAGTAAGTCGTGGAGCAAGTTGCGGGGAGGGGGTCAATGAGGTGGTGGTGGTGGTGGTGGTGGTGGTGGTGGTGGGTAGAGGATGGATGGTACATACGAGAGAACAGCTTTGCTTTCGTATCCAGCTGGGCGTGGATCTCCACGCCGACTGTTAATTCCCATATTTCACGCGAAGCTTCTTCACTTTCCTTGCGTTGCCTTTTCTGGGCCTTGAGAGCCTTCGCATCCTGCTTGAGTTGTTTGCGGAGGGGGACGCGGTCGGATGAATCTGGTTGGACGGAGGGAGTGGGAGCACTGCGCGTTGGCAGGGAAGAAAACTGTAGGAACTGCAGCAAGTGCAAGTTCTGGGGGCGAGTCACAGGAGTGAACCGGAGTAAGCGGACGGTACCGCGGGGCCTTGGCCGAAGCATGGAGAGTGTGTAGACGTGATGGGGTGGGAGGAAGAAAGCGCAAAGCCGAAGTTGAATTGCGGGAGACTCGGCGATCTGCAGATCGGGGCCAATATCAGACCGACCATACTAGTAGATCTATGAATAGTTGGATATACCTAGGTGTGAGTGAGATATATAAGATATTATTTGAGATTCGTGAATAAATCTATGTATTTGAATCATCTGAGTAGACATTGTATACAACCCAGTATACTAACTAATAACTATAGTTATACTGTATTAGGTACTGAAGTAGGTACCTCGTTCACCCACCTGCATCTCCCTTCTACACTTCCTCATGGAACCACGTCGCACCCCCACCTGCACGGAAGAATACTGTACTCTCTTCTGCATGACAGAAACAGTCCCGGATTCGACTGGTCTCATTATTCCGCCCCTCCTCGTTCCCTGCTCGCCCTGCTCGCCCTCTTCGCCCCGAAAACGCGAAAATGGGGCCCAACTAGTTACTTGCCAGACCGCCAGAAGCCCACCCAACGCAAGGCGTGAGATGATCGACAGGCGACTCGCCAGCGCATGGTTCCCCAGTCACTTCGTTCAGACGCCTGCATTATAGTCCGGATCGGATAGGATCCTCTCTGATTTGCTCTACTGCCCAATAGTGGCCCACACTATTGATTCACGCCTCCATTTCTAGCTACCGCTAGCCCCAAGTCAACTCAATTCAATTCAATTCCTCTCCTTGATCTCGGCTTCTGTTTGTGTACTTCCTACTTTTGTACTCCCAGTCGGCCATATTGTACAACCTGAATCGGCGTCATAGCAGGTCTTTGTTCCGCCCTCCCCCTCCTTCGATCGTCAGGGAGAACTTAAAACCTCCTTGCGACGCCCAGTGTCATTGGTCGTCGATCTGAAGCCCCCGGCGCTTCTCATCTGCTTCAGATTATCAGGGATCCCCGGCTGTGACGAATTGCAACCCACCTTTTGGGCCCCAGCGAGACGCCCGGATCTCGTTTGAGCCTTGCGCTGGTGACGCGAACTTCGTTTCTAATTAGGGGCTGACGTGCCGGACTGCTGCTTCAGAGTCAATACATTACTCGACCTGGGGCCACTCGCTCTAGATCCCCCCCCCATTATACATACCTCTTCCTGCCCCGAAGAATGTCAACGGGACGACGCGGGGAGAATTGAGACATCACATCATCTTGCTTGTACACTTTGACGCTTGTCTTTTCCTCGCCCTTTGGCTCTGTCATATTTTCTTATCGTCCCTTTTCTTTTAGTCATTTTAGTCTTTTTCTTTTCCTTATTTCCCTTTTCGCTGGACGACCCCTAGATTCCGCATGCTTGCCGTGATCTGATCGGAATTTGGCCCCTCCTCCCTTGTCATGCCTCGGGTCCCCATACTGACGTTATACAACTGGCGACCCTTCCATGCAACATTTCATGCTCATCGAACCCTTTTGAGTGTGGGCATGGCCTCATAAGATTATTTTTATTTTCCTAAACGATGCGCCGGGTATTACTTCCGACCTTTTCCGATCAACATGCCGCTCCGCACCGCTTCTCATAGTCTGACCCGCAAAGCAACGAAAGATGGGAGGAAAAGAACATTGTCAACAATCTCGAATACAACTCAACCGACGCAGGCTGGACCTGCTGGAAATTCCAAACCAAATGAGAAAGGATCCAATGGTCCAAACAAGGCTCTGAAGTCGCAGGCGACAACGGAACCACCTGCAAATACCAAACCCGTTGAACCGCCAAAGAAAGTCCCAGATGTATTTCAATTCCTGGACAATGATGACGGTTCATCTTCCGAGTCATCATCTGCATCCGAATCCGAATCCGAGTCCGAATCTTCTGAAGAGGAATCGCCACCGCCAGTCGCGAAGCAAACAACCACAAATATACAATCCCCAAAGCCGCGAACTAGTAATGCATCGAAAACGCTGCTGGCATCAGCCAACACACCTCCCAAGGCACCCGCTCCTCCATCAACTAGAGCGTCTAGGATTCCAAGTGACGCGCGACCGCTCCCCCCACCGGCGCCCCCGGCCCCTGTTCCAACAGAAAATCAATGGCAGTTAGCTCGCAAACAGGCGCCTTCTAAATCGTCCAACGCAGGCTACTATGACAACTCAGAGGCTGAGAAATCTCCTCAACCTAGTCGACGTCAATTACAAATATCGAATCCCGAGAACTATTATACATCGTCGAGAGACGTTGTCCATCGATCACCCCTCCCTCCTTCTCCGCCCAGCAGCCCGGAGGACAGCATACACCGGGACACTCAAATAAAGAGAAGAGACTCAAATGCTTCGCAAATTTCATCTGGATATGGAATGATCGCGTCGCACCTCACTCACTCAGCCAAAGAAGAGAAGGGGGGGATTCCCGCCACTCTACCGACGTTTCGGGGCTGTGAATCACCGTGTTCTCTTATACCTCCAGGATGAAATTTCCCAAATGGAAGAAGACCTTGAGGCACTCGATGAGTACGAGGAGATGCACCGAGTTGGAAATGCGGAGAAGGAGGGCACCAAACCAATGCCTCCATCTCGGCGACTCGATGTTCAGTCTCAGGCCTACTCATCACTCCACTATCGTCGCATGGAATTGATGGCGGCTCTGACACAGAAGACAGAGCAATACAGTATGTGCTTGAAATAGCTAAGCCCTAATTAGCGGGTATTTTGCTGACCTGAATAACTAGACAACGCCCTCAGTGCGTACAGTAAAGTCCTGCAGACACTCCCACGTGCTTCTGAAGACGACATCAAGAACTATCGCAGCTGGATGAAAGACCGCAACCCCATCGCAGCAGCCGAAACCCGATTCCTGGATCAAGATGCTGACTTGGTATCCCTGAGTCCACGACTTGCGGCATCAGCTGCAGCTGCCCCCGTCTACATATCCATCTTCATTGCATCGGGTGCCCTTCTCCTACCTCTTCTCGCATTCAGTATGATTGCAGAGTTCTCAGGTCGTCTCGTTGTCGTGACAGTTACCGGAGGCGCAGCCGCGGCCATTGCAGCAAACTATTCATCAGGGATTGATGCCTTGGTGGATTCCAGAGATGGCTGGAGGTGTACAATGCTGTATGTTCTGTCTCAGTCGAATAAAATAAATCGAATTCGACCTATACTGACACGTTAATAGCTACTTCGGCTTCATGACCATCGCCGCCATGTTCATACCTTAGCCCCTGAAATACGGCGTTATTGATGACTGATGATTTCCCTTCCTGTCTTACCCGAACGAATTCTCTATGTTTTGTTTTGGCATATGTAAAACTGACGACATATCGCTGTGATTGGTTGCCATTATTCCCAGGAAAAACAAGTGACCTGGCCATTCTTTTGCAACACAATAGAAACGCGCAAAAAAGGGCCAGAGAAGTAACCTTTTTCTGGACAAAGATTGATATGGTGTTTTCATTCTCGGGATCTTCTTTCATTTGTTTGTTTTGGGCGACATAGCCTGGCCGAAAGTTTCTAATAGGCCCTCGTATGCGTTATGAGCATTGGGACAGGATAAAGCGGATTGGAAAGGAGGACCTCGGAGTTTGAAGTCATGTGAAGTTTTTTTGTGACATTGAATAGTTACTAGTATTATGTGTATTTTATGAAGAACCTTCTAAGGAATTCCCTCGCATCATTCAAGTTTCGACTCTCCCAAGATCAATTTAATTATCCAAAAGGCTCTTGGCCTACAATTATGATCTAATAAGCATACATTGATTGATGAAAGCGAAAAGAAAATTCTCGTCTAGACCGAACATGGCGAACATCAAAGAGCGAGCTGACTTTTCATCGATAGCTCTTACCACCCACCCAGACAGGACCCATCTTGTAGAAACCACCCACGCGCCAATCGCTGCGATCCCAAGGAAACACCATTGTTAGAAGAACAAAGCAAATGACATGATACCGCGGAAATACGAAGAGAAGACACCATTAAAAACACTGCGGAGAAAGAGAAGAAAGCAAGAAGTTGAACAGACCTTTACACAGATCTGGAAACCAATTCAAGCTTCTTGTAAAGATGAAGTAAAAACCAAGGACATGATATGGAAGAAGAAGGAGAAAACATTTTCATCAACTCAGTATGTTAGCGACAAATACAGGTATCGTCGTGTGGTAACAGGAAGCATGAATGTATCCTGTATTATTGGACAGGGGTGCCATTCTGCTTGCTTCCAGGAGTGAGGCTACCCTCTTGAGACCGACGAGCCTCATAGCCCCCTGGCTGCGGCGTAGAGGGACTTTGTCGACTCTGTTGTACCGCGATTTGTGCCTTTGCGGCTTGCTCAGCCGCACTGCGAGCGTGGATGGCAGCGGCGGCACTGTTGGGGTACGGGCCTTGGGATGGGGTTCCATGTGACGCGTATGGCTGACGCTGAACAGGGCCAGCGTTCGCATAGGGAGTGCGGCCTTGGGGTGTTGCATTGTAGCCGGCTGGTTGCCCTGGCCGCGGTGTATATGGCTGGGGAGATTGTGTGTAGCCGTTAGACGCGGGACGTTGGAACTGTGGCACATTGTTTGCTTGACTAAATTGCTGAGCCCCTTGTGCATATTGCTGTGGCGTATATCCAGGGCGTTGGGATGGCGTGCTGGGTGGACGTGCTCCATTATATCCGGGGGTAAACGTACCTGCCCCGGAGGGCTGCCGACCGTGCTGAGGTACTTGGAAGTTTGGCCGTTGGGGGATTTGAGCATTGGCAGTAACGGCACGCTGATTAATGCCAGAATGAGGCCCTTGGTAGCCGCTCGGCCGTGGCACTGAGGAGGGTGTTGAGTTCCGATTCGCAGTATTGGGCGGTGCTGCCGCCATGGCCATGGCGGCAGCGCGCTCCTGTTGTAATGTGTAATCGTCCTTTTCCATGGTACCAGTGTAATCGGGGGTTTCGATCAAAATCTTTTGACTAATGTTCAATTCCGCCAATTGATCACCGTCCAGTTTTGCCACGGCATATGGCGGCAAGTTGCCTATTATAGCAAGAAGACTCGTCTTCAGTGTGTCATAAATGACCTTCTCTGCATCAGATGGTGCATCAACTTCGTCAAAATCAGGGATTGGAGTGTCCCTGGTCTCTGGAAGATCGCCATCAGCAGATGGGAAGGTCAAGTGACGAATTTTCTGGTAAGAGCTCAGAGTATCCAGTAGATCTGAAATTTCGACGAGAAGCTCTTCAACCTCCCTTGATTCGGGATCCACTTGGGATTTCTCGTTCTCGCCTGTAATGTCATAGCTGGTGTCTTCCGGATTGAAGGACTTGACCATCTCGTCTAGTGTGCTTTCATCAAGGTCGCCTATGCTTCCTGGCTGTGCACTTGTGATTTCTTCCTCTGTATTGGGAAGGGAGAGCAAGGTACTTAAGCGCTTGGCGCCTCGCTTCTCCCACCAGATCATGTCTTTTACATCATTTTGGAGGGTGGCTCCGGAACTATCGTAAGAGGGGGCAAAAGATGAGTAGACACCTTGCAGGAGAGATGAATCATCGCCGGTCCACAGTGCGGGATCACTGTGCTTTGAGCTAGAATCTGCACTGGCATGATATTTTTCGACGCGAGCCCAGAAAGCTGGCGAAGACGTGACTCCGCCGTACTGTAGCCATTGCCCTGCGGGAAGAGGCGTCAAAGCAGAGCTGTTGCGGTCATCGTAAAAAGCTCGGGAGTCGAACGCGGCGTCAAAGGGGTCCATCCAGGTAATCGAAGTGCTTCGATTGCTTCGTCTCCGTGGGCGTTCTAATTGGGGGAGGCCAGCGCGCGGAGCGAAGACCTCACCAAACGTTCTCTTTGATTGTTGTGGAGCAGCACTGAGATTATAAGGGACGACTTTTGTGGCAGAAATACCGTTCGGGAGAGCACCTTCACGAAGTTCTTGTTGCACTTCAACAACGCTCTCCATATCCGCATTGGAAGATTGTAGGGGCACTTTGATGGATTTCTGCAAGCTTGAAAATAGTTGTTTAGGGTTCGCTGGGTTCGAAGCATTTCCAAAGATTGTCAGCGCCTGCTTATCCTCACGCGCGCTGACATGAGCGACTGTGGCTAAGACTTGATCTTCCTCATCATCTGGGGATTCGGACTTGACATTGGGTTGGTTGACAAATGATTGGCCGACAAGGCTATTCATATGTTTCTTAAAAGCCGCAATGCGATTCACAACTTCTGTCAAGGGCGTGCCATCAACTTTGGTACCGTTTGATTGGTTCTGGTTGCGTTCGATCGCAGCAGCAGAGGCTCTTTCAATATCGGCTAGGAATTCTTGCAAGGTGTTATATCGTCCCGAATCAACGCGGGTTCGTACAGTGGATGTCTCCTGATCGTTGGAAACCTTTGCGCGCTTCGCCCGCGGCTTGTTTGTTGATACTGGTAATGGGCAGGAAAGGAGCTGGAGCTCGGCGTCGTGTCTGTCCAATCGTTAGTAAAAGCCTCTCTAAAGCTACATGATCAAGTCTCCGAGAGACTCACTTCGAGAGAAGTTCGACAAGATTGCGAAGATTCTCGTGCAGGTTTGTCTTGTCATGCGACGCAGAAGTATTGGTGTCGGAACCCGCTCTCTCTTCCTGCACAGATCGCTTCCTTTTCCCCGGGGTCGCGGTCATACTGGATTCCGGGTGAGGTTCGCCATTTGGTGCGGTGACCGGTGTTGTGTTCCGAGATTCTTCGGCGCTCATGGTTGCAAAGTCGCGTCGGGGGTGGAAGTTGACAGGACTTTCTCTGACGCGGTCCCCTCCCGACTGGACAAGATAGTAGATATCCCTGGAATATCAAAGGAGAAAATCGAAGGACGCGACCCTCAGGCGATTGTTCGATTGTTGAACGGTAGGGTTGGTGGATCTTTGGTTTTGTTCGAAAATATTGTTCGACGGGTCTTGATGAGAGTCTGGGCTCAAGGATCGAGAAAGGATGAGATCGCGACGGTGACAACACGAAGTGACGAATCTCTTAAGCTGTGGAGAGAGGGGGAGGGAGAGTGGGGATGAGGGCGAAGGAATCGAGTGAAGAATTGTCACTTGACACAATGGACGAAACAGAGAGAGTCCAGGGAGTTGAGAGCAAAGAGAAAAGGCACGATCATCGAGCGAGGCAAGAGAAATGCCAATTTGGGGGCAATGCGCGCCTTCCCGAAAACCGCAGGTGACGTGCACGTGACTGTCCCGTTTCTGTTTCTGCCGGAGTTGCGGCCTCCATTTTCTTACCTTTTCTACATACTTTGGACTTTCGACATCTTCGATTCTTGAAGCTGATCTGTTGTCGATTGGGACCGTGGGAGCACTGCTGGAAACTGTGCTTCATGATTACATTCATGGATGTCATCCGCTCTCAATCGTGTCCGCGGCCTCTCGAGGGTATCCTCGCTGAGAGCTGCGCATCTGCTCGGTCATAGCTGGCGCAAGGTATTTTTTTGGGATTCGTGTTCGAATTTGATAATAGAGGATGCTAATATAAGCTTGTTTTTAAACAAAACAATAGGATTATCATCGCAGCAATAATCTTGTCGCGCGTGAATCTTCTTATTCCTTCCAGCGGAATACTCACCGAGCAAGCAAACATTCATATGGAACAGAAGCTCCTCTCTCTTGCTCTGAACACATCACGACCAATATTCACCCCCGTGTCAATAACAACAAGGACTCAAAAGATCGAACTGGCCCTCCTCCATCACAGCCAACTTCCCAGTCGACATTACAAAACACAACCACGTTCAAGCCCCAACTAGAGGATTGCCAACCCACGAAGACCCTCGACGACTTTAAGTCAAGAACGAACGAAAGAAGGCGATCATTAAAACAAATCCCCACGCCTTCCGAGTACCTCAGTAAAACCCTTCAAAAACATGTTTTCGAACAGGAGGGGCATTCGAGTCTCCGCACCTTTCACTATGGCACAAGAAAAACATACGGTCGACCCCGGCAGATGATCTCTCTGCAGGCTACATTGGCGGAATACATACGATTGGTGGACCCGCTCGTTTCTGGCGCTCCCTCGCACGCTACTCTATCCGAGGTACGCAATGACTTGGACATTGCGCTTGCGCATGTGTTTAGGCCAGAGAATCGTGAGTATCTTGCAGCGCGAGGCTATGACATTGAGGATGTGGTTTCTTGGGCGTGGATCATGAAGAGCCAGAATGCTCGCCGGGCGATCGCCCGGATGTTTGCTCTACAAGGCGACGGTACATCCAGACAATTGGAGATCCCTGTGTTCATTCCTTTGTTTTTGTTGAAAGAGCATCACCTTGATGCGCAGTCTTTTCGACTGCTTCTCGTGCATGCCTTACACTTGATGAGTGGCCATCCACCTCCATCTGTCGACTCTCTGTACGCAGCTTCAGGAGATATTGAAGAACCGGCTTCAAGCAAATATCACCCCCGCATTACTTTAGGGACATGTGTGACGCTCGTTAGTCGTTTGGTTCGACATGCACGCCAGGTGTGGCCCCGTGCGCTTCCGACAATTGCCACCATATTCTCCCGTTTTTTGACCAGATCTCACACAAAAAAGACCGAGGAGTCTAATATGAGTATGCAAAAGCTCAACCGTGGAAGTACAGAGAAGTTTAACACTTGCCTCTGGCTACTGTCAATGCCTACCAAAGTCAATCCTTTCCGCGCGGCCTCAATTCAGCAGCAAGCGCAGTTTGAAATTCTCAAGTCCATGGCATCTCACAAGCCAGTGCTTCCCCTCTCTCGAAAGGGCTACCAAGCAATTGTTGCTGTTCAACTAGCTCACAAAAAGACGCTTGCTGAGCGCCAATCGGCCGAATTGAAATCGCCATCGTGGCCTCCGTGGAAAGAGGAGAAATTGGGCATGGATGCACAACGTGGAAACGAGGGGCTGCAAAGTCGTGCAATGAACGTCTTATCTCAAATGACGGAGGCAGGCTACTCCCATCGAGTTTGGGAGAAGACCTCTTCCATTCTGGCCGGTTGGGATACTGACCGCAGTCCAACAATCCAAACAAGGACCTTGGTTCCTCGGTCAAGCTCTCTTTCTCGTGCTAGCGATGATGAGATCGATAATTACGCTGCCATCTGGGCAGCCCGAATTCGTGCAACTAGGACCATACGCGAAGCGTGGGCTTGCTTTTTGGCTTATCAAGACAAGGGCCTTCCTCCTAAACTCACCGTCTACGCTGAGATGTGTGCCAAATTGATTTACCGCCAAATGGCAATCAAAGGGCGCGTTGATGAGATTGGACAGGCTCTGCCTGGTGATGGCCCTGAAGTTCATGCTGAACCTGCGTCTGCCCGTGACATCATTTACGTACATACAGAGCCACCGACCGTGGAAGACCTGGTCCAGGAAATGTTCTCTCATGGATTTCGACCGTCGGGTAGATTCTTGGCTCTTCTGCTTCGATCTGCTCCCACATTTCGCACGGGCTTAGGATATCTGCGGCGCAGTGATCTCTCCGAAAAACAAATTGCGGCTCTGTGCGTCATCTGGGGTCACCCTTCGCAATGTCCGGCCCCTTATCTCAAGACTCTTGGTTCACTGCCAGATACGGTGTTTGTCTCGTTTATCAAGCTTTTGTGCACCCGTTCCAAGTCAATTCGCATGAAAATGGCTGGTCGATATGCTCTTTCGCCCAACGACTTCCCTGCGTTGACTGAGAACACCCAGACCCGCGAGCCCCTCGCTGCCCTCTCGGACTTCTCTGAAGAACTTGGACAGTGGCGGCATCCACGTGCTTTGTGGCATGCAGTTCAATTGGTCAAGCTACGGCAGCCGTACTGTCATTCTGCCTGGGTTCACATTCTTGATACAATGAGCACCGAACGTGTGAACAAAAAGCATACAGACCGTACCCGCTGTTTGTATCGCATTATTGGATGGCATGAGACTCTTGCGGTACTGCGGTTGATGAAAGCACGGGACGTGCATCCTGGATCGCAGGGATTCAAGGCACTGTGTATTGCTTTCAAAAAGGCGGTCGACGCTGGAATTAGACATCCTGGGCTTGTGGAAGAGGCTTTGGGTTTGGTAAACAAGGCGACCCAAAGCGACCAATATCTAAGCTCTGACCTGGACGCTTTCAACGATATGGTCGAAGCTGGTCTCAAAGTCCTCAAAGACGAGTTTGAGTGTCTTGTCCTCCCAAGTTCAGCCATGCCAGATCTTGTAGAGCATAGCGTGTTCGTGGCAGAACAAACAGACCAATTCCAACTAAAAGTCCCACTCGGCTTGCACGTCCCATCATTTGTGACGTTGCACAGTTTTGTCGGGGCTCTTGGAATAGCTGGAGACGATGATGGGCTATTGCATCTCCTGCACTGGATGAGTCGATCATTCTCTGAACTCAGTGAAGCCTCTCAAGAGCGCCAGAACGGAACCAAGAATATGCGTCTTACCCTGGTGGCGACGCGGACGTATCTAGAGCAGTTGCAGTCGAAATCAAAACTGCGGGAAGGATACGATATCTTCCATAAAACAGGTTGGGAATGGCCCACCGACGAAGAGGTCGAAGAATATAGTCAGGGATTGTACAAATAGTGTATTTTTAGCGTTAGAAATGATACCCCAAAGTGATAGTTATCTTAATCATGCTTGAAGTATGCTCTTAGGGTATACTGGTAAGTAACCTGGAAGTACTAGTAAAGTGATTAAATGATTCCAAGGTTATCAAGACAATATTTACAGAAGTTCAAATCTATAACCGTGCCCCTTCACGCCTCAGCATCTCCTTCTCCCCATCTAATCGCCACTCTGCAGTTCGTTGCATCCTTGCTTCAACCTCTTTATCGCTGACATCGCTGACATCCCCAAGCGGAATTTCCCGGATTGATTGCAGCTTGAAGGGAAGATAAGTGAGTTTGCCAGTCGGTTCCACACGGCCGGCTCCAGCATCACGACAGAACTCCGACAACCCTTCGAAGAATCTTTTACCCGCTGGCGTAGACATCATCAAGAATCCATGACAATGAGGCATGCCTTCAAACTGCTCCGCGACAACAGATACACCCGCCTCATGCATACGGCGAGCAGTGATCAGACCATCATCGGCGAGACACTCCTCCCCAGTCGAAATGAATACCGGCGGGGCATTTTCCCATAGATCCGAAGATGCAGCGAGAGGAGAAACGAGAGGATGCAGTACGGTCTTGGCGTTGACGTACAGATCGCTTCGAGGTGGAGAGACTGGCCATACGGCATCAGGTGGAAATGGAGCCGGGGCAAAGGGGACAGATGCAGCTGCTTCGTCTCCTTCAAAGGTTGGCAGGACAAGATAGTCAAATTTGGCGTTTTTGACGGCAGATGGCATAGAGTGGGTTATATCGCACCACGGGGGAAATGGTAGCCACGCCTGCGGGCAACTCGACGGGTATTTCCTTGCCGTGGAAACTGATTGAACGGGATGATCGTTGAAGAGTGAGTAGGGTCTGAAGCAGAACTAAGGACAGATTGCCACCGGCAGAGTCACCAGCGATAACAATCTTGTTGGCAGGTACTGGGTCGTGCAAAGCCCCTGGTGGTGGGTGGATAAGTGATAGGTACGCTGTCAGTGCATCGACCAGGGCAGCAGGGAATGGATTCTGGGGTGCGAGCCGATATCTGACTGAAAGCACTGGGGATCCAGTTCGGCGTGATAGCTGTGAGACGGAAATACGGTGAGTGCAAGGGTCCATCAGGCTGGGATCAGGATTAGCAATTTTGTCGCAAATCACCGTTAGATCTTCAGGGGTATCTCACAAATAGGCACCTCCATGAAAATATAATATCGTTGTATCAGACGAGGCCTCTTTGCGTAGTTCGTGATACTTCTCCGCCTCTGAGAGATCGGGCTGGGGCGCGTTCTTGTCCACTCCACTGCGATAACCAGTCCACTCAGCCTCCACAGAAGCTATACCAGGTATATTAAAGGACTCATCGCCAGTCTTTAGCTCGTCAATGGCGTGCAGAACTGCATTTCGCACATCGATTTCGGGGCTCGGCAGGACGACTTTGGAGACCCAGATAGGACCCTTGATCCCTGGATCGCGCATGCTATTCTGCTGGGTCTTGGTGATAGAATGACTGAAAGTCATGAACGAGCGAATAATTGCGACAGTCAACTCGGTGCGCAGGTCCTGCCGGCCGGAGACGGGGACATGTGAATACCATGCTGGATGAGGGTTTTCAATATCATCGGTACCCGTGCCAGCATCAACTTCAGAAGGCCGATACTCGGCGACAGCATACTCATTTCGAACGAACGAGTTTATCGTCCAACTTCTAGGGTTGTGATGGGATGAAAAGGAGATCTAGATTGAAACCGGATTTGGTTCATCTGTGTCCGTGCCGAGGTCCGCCCCCACAGTGATGATCTGCTTGACCCAATGGGGGTTGCGGTACTATCAGAAACATGAGCCCTTTTGGACTGCCTTACTGCCTAGGAGAACTGGTCGGAATCTTCAGCCTTAGAGATGACTATTGAAAACTTTCATGGTGACGAATATAATAATTGATTCAAAGTTGAATATTGTAGAATATTGCTAAACCGTATGAGATAGTATTCTTTATTATGATGTTTTCTATACGCCTTGATCAATGATGCATAACAAAAAGGTGACACTTCCAAAAAAGAACAAGATGCAGGCATTGAGCAAACAAATGAGGTGGTGACAAAACGCCATATATGAGTGAATCAAAACCCCACTCCCAAACCATCATGATTCAGAGGCCGTGGTGGCGAGCTCCCACTTCGCGGCCGCATTCTGTATGCATCTAAAGTTGGCTCCGGCGCCAGCGCCGGGGCATAAAAATGAACACCATCTTGTATCAAAGGACCGGAAAGATTGGGATGATACATTTGGTATGTTGGGGCGTGTCGTGGAACTTGAAGTCGGGCTCCCTCATGCAATCTTTGACGAGCTTCGCGGACATCAACGCGATGTCCCCTAAAGTGAAAGAGCTGAGCAGGCTCGATATCGGGATTCCAGCTTAGCTCCATGTCTCGTAGTCGCTCATCCACTGACCCCAAGCGCTGACTACGCGGCGGGGGATAAAGGCCATCTGACTGCAGAGGACTTCCTGGACGAGGCATAGCGCCCACCCAGCTTGTCGCTCCGGCGACGGACTGCGACTGTGGCTGAGGAATCATGGGTGATGCAGTACGTGATATTTCACCCTGTTGCTGGGAACTTGGGATCGGTGAGAATCGCGGTGGGTATCGGACAGGCTCGGTTGCCCAAGACTGATGTGATAGTGTCGACGACCCGCGAGAAAGGCCCTCGGGCCCGGGGTGGTCTGGAGCCTGTGAGATTATAGTATCAGAAAAGGCATGGGTCATTGGCGGTGCTCCGGGCATCATTGCGGAGGGATGAGAGATCGGCGTGGGATTGGCTGGTGAAGAAGCGATCGGTCTCATTGGCATAGGTGGACGATTGTTGTGAGATGGCATGATAACGCTGATGTCCTGGTCATATGGCAAAGGTGGAGGTGGGTATGGGATGAGAGATGGTGTGCTTGCAGATATATCCTGAAGATAGAGCGGGTAGGGGAGAATTGACGGAACACTCGACGATAGGTCTCGCCGAGCAGGTTCAAAAGCAGTAGCAACTGATGACCTGCGGGAGTGGATTTGAGAGTTTGTTGCTGTGTAGACCACCTGGTCCGTCTAATTGTTGTCTATAAAATTCAGTGCCGGACTCACTATAGGTTGAACGGGTGAGTGGCTCTGCTAGAAGCTCATGGGAAGTCAACTCGTGAGCTAGCGGAGAGGCAAAAATATGTCCTGGTTGGCCGTTGAGTGATTCCATAGACGGCTTCATCTGGACAGCGGAAGTATGATCCGTTCCGCGAAGAGAGAGAGGCATTGATGCCGGGCGTCGAAGTGGGAGCTCTGCCTGAAGCATGGGCCGGGCTGCCATATTTGCGTATGTTTGGATATTTTCCTGCTTCGGGGGCAGTCGTACCGGAGATAGAATTGGGGATTTGGCAGTGGATTGTCCATCACTCAATCGACGGACTGCAGCCAGTGCCCTCTCCGCGGCCGAGGCCAAAACTTTAGAACTCCCGCCATCATCTGGCGACACACGACTTGAGGATCCTCTCCCGTGCACTGGTGAGACTCTCACCAGTGGAGCGACAGGCTTAGCACCACGTAGCCGGCGAGGGCCTCTATTTTTCCTTCTTTGTTGTCTCTCTCGCGGCATGGTTTGTGCTTTGGTATGCCGGTTGACTACTTGCCAACCGTGGTCATCAGAGAGAGTAGTAGCAGGAACAGGTGGGCTTGATGTTATTGGTGACGGTTTTGGTTTCTCAGTGCTCTGACTCAATTGCGACAGGGCTGGTGAGATCCGTATCGCCCCATGGTTCTCCTGATCAGTTTCGTAACCTTCCTCTGATTCATAGCCGGCTTGCCTGAATATATGTGGCGGGAAAGGTTCCAATCGAAAACGAGTATTATTGCCTATCTCCTCGGGGGATTCCGCCCGAGCAGACCCCGATTCAGTCCAGTTCCATGTCGATCGACGTGAGATTCCCTCATCTGCAGATGAGTCAGGGAACGATGACGATGAGCTGCTTGAACGATCGAATACCGACTTTTGATTGCGGTTAGACTCCTGGGAAGAGCTCGGAGACTTGCGGTCAATCTCACTGGTGAGGCTCTTCATCAGTTGTCGAAGATATTCTCGCGCTTCTCGAACAATCGGGGGATGTGCACTCATCGCAGCCTTTTTAGGAAAAAGCTCAACCAATCGAGATGCATGAGTTTCATACTCTCGATAGTCGCGGACAAGTCCACAGTCGTGGTAATGGGTCATTCTTTCATTGGCCGTCTCATACGACTTGCATAGGAAGCGAGTCGCCACAATCAGCCATGAGTTGTAGAAGCCAGGGTTTTGGTTGCTCATGGCAGCCTTAGACTCGTCGTCTTTGATGCGCAGTTCATCTCGGCAAAATCCTTGTACCACACTGTGAATTTTGACCACATCGACAGGCATACTTCCACGGTATATGGAGAAGAAACCTTCTTGGCTACTCTCTGTCATCGACCCTGTCAGCTCCGGGTATGAATTCGTAGGCTTGTCGAGCCCATCAGCCAACTGATGGCCAGACGTGTTTTGCTGGAAGCTAGTCTCAATGTCCGATGTTCGTTCAATCAACCCGTAATGAATGAGAGTTCCAAGAGTGGTATCAAGATCGGGCTCCTCGCCGGGTTGGGCGCTGCTTAGAATCTCTGCATTCTCAGTAGACATTTCATGTCTCCCAAGGTTAAGCAGGCCCACGGGGACATGGTGGCCGAGAAATGCAAGTAAGTTGATCAGGTTCAATGCCTGGTGTTGATTCAAGCGGTATAGATCATTCATAATGCTGAGGAATGGTTCCGCAAGCTTCTTATCTGTCACTTGGTGCTTGACGTGGTATCTCTCAATTGGCTTGCGAGTGGCATTGAGACGGTGACCGATAGCATGAATTGCCAATGGTAGGCATTCGTAGTACTCGACCAATTCAATACCTTTTGCAGCTTGCTCCTTCGTTGGCCTTTTTATACCGAGATCTCTGAAAAGAAGCTTACATGCATCTTCCACGTGCATTCGAGGCATTGTTAGGCAATAGGGCTCAAATAGACGCTGCTTTTTGCGCAAGGTGGTATCAATAGAGGTGTAAATGATACAGCATCGCTTATTCCAGGGAAGGAATGGTCGGAAGTCATTAATATCCTCATCGTGGTCAAACGTAATGCCGTCAAAAATTAAAAGCCAATCATGACGTGTCTGCAGCCAGTTTCTCACCGCATTAACGTAGCCTCGGGATTCCTGGTACTCCGGCTCAGCGGTCTCTTTCTTGTCAATCAAGGTAGCAGCCTGGGCAATCTCCCAAAAGGATTTAGCGGTTGACTCGCGAGACTTTGCGTCAATCCAAAATAATCCACCAGAATAGCATTCGCGCTGTGCAAAAGCATACTGACGTGCTAGGTGTGTCTTCCCGGATCCTGGGACCCCAGATATGAGGACAGCCATGGTACGATCCGGTCGAGATTTAGCCTTGAACAAACGATGGTGTAGGATATCTAATTCTTTCTCCATTCCAAAAAATGCCGCATTGGGATGAAACCCCGCGGGTGCCACGAATATCGGTGGGTCCTTGTTGGAATAGTGAGAGAAAGACAAAACACCGCTGTGGCTTACATCGGAAACAGGAGAATTGCGACCCTCAGTGGCCGGTGCACGAGGAAGCGCAGGTACGGAGTGACCTATTGGGAGAAATGAACATCAGCTAAATCTGACTTCTGAATAGATTGCATGACATCAGCTAGACTGAGAAACGACAAAGACGGGAGCCACCCTGTGATCGGTCACAGTTCGTTAAGATACAAAAAAAGGGAGCAAATTGCAAAGTCATTTAAAGCATATCATTCTGGTCGACCAGGCAAGATAACAAATTCATCACCCTGCTGAAATTCCGGTCTCAAACAGGGGGCTCCTCGACTTCATAATCTCTCAAAGTCACTGCTTCTTCTGGAGGAGGGAGTGCCCTACCAGTTGAATTCAGGTCTGGCATACTGTGTCCGATCGGATCGTCTACTCTAGCTGTACCAGTCAATATCCAAAATAAGATAGCGTGGATATCTGACTTACCGTCATAGATCTCCCTTGCCTTGGCTTGCTTCTCAAGGGTGCGAGCCTTCCTTTCCTCAACCCAGCGATCGGCGATCACCGTAGGTGCTTGACGGGAATACCGGAGAATCGCCTCTGCAACCACTTCATAGCCGGCAGCATTCTCATCGTCAAACTTGCACATGTGACTATGGTCTGCTTCAATACCCATCCGCTCAACACCTTCTAGATAAGGTGCAGCCGATGCCTCATCAACGATAATTTCCCGAGTCCCACGAACGTCGGTGGAGCGAGTTTCGTGGAAAAGGTAGACGTGGAAACGACTCATGATATCGGCGAATAAGCTGTTGATATGCTGTAGAGTTTCGTTGTTTGTCCGTAGGGCCTTGACGAGTTGTGGAGAGGACTCCATAAATTTCTTGGGCATAACAGCACTGCAGATGTTGTGCAACAACAGACCCCATTTGGCGATATCAGAGCCATTATGAGGAGTTCCGAGGAAGAGGATACCGAAAGTTGATACGTAGACGGAACGGAGGTGCTCGGTTTTCTCGTTGGAAAGGCTACGGCTATAGATCAGGGCGCGTTTGACGACCAAACCGCCAAGTGAGTGGCAGACGAAGATAATGGGACGGTCGGAACAGCTCCGGAGCTAAAACAGTAGATTGTATCAGTATCGTCTGATACCTATCTAGACGATAGTATCACAGATGGAAGTAGTAACTTACGTTGCGATTGGCAGCCAGGTTTGAGGCTAGGGTCTCTGCATGGCTAACGATGGAATCTCGCGAGGCACCATCCGTGAAGGCGGTTACATTCGCATTGTATCCATAGCTTAGGATACGGGGACGGAGAGAGGCGAGGATATCTGGCAATAGATCAACTGGCCAATAGCAGTTGGTCGACTTGCTTGTCCAAGAATCATGCGGGTGGCCATTCAGACCGTGGACGAAGACGATATCAACAGTGGGGGACCCGTCGCGGGGAACATAGACTTGCGTCAAGCCAAATGGCTTGAACGTACGGGACGACTCGGACATGTGTAGTAGGGAGGATCTCAAGTTGTCAACCCAGGGCCATCATGCTTCCGACGAGTACTGAGGAGATGTGGGGGGGAGCAAATCAGGGCGACCCCCGCGATATATGAAGGTCTTGGGGCTGATCTGATCTGCATTGGAGTCTGCAGGTGATCGTATTGCCTCCAAGGTTTACATCGGCTGTTCCCCCTGACCACGGCGGGTGACTGACCACGGCTGGTGGTTCACCTAGAGACCCTGAGCCCGCTGGTGGGGCCGCGGGGCGTCTCAGCCTGTCCCTAGTATGGTAGGGTGTGATAGCTTCGATTGATTCCACGAGTGATTCGAGTTTTGAGTCGCGTCGCGTCAGGCACCATTACCCATTCAGAGCGAAGGCGAGGACTGCGCCACGGGCGAGATAATGCAGGAACCCCGGTTCATAGGGAAAACTGCCGCCTGTTCATGAGTCATGGCCTGAATAATTGAAAAAGCATATTCCAAGACAGCCTGGCTTGATTCAACCGATCCGGAATCTGTGAGTTTTGAAGATGTGAAGTGTTGAAGATGCGAAGATGCGAAGATACGAGAAGGCAACGGCGTGCTCTAAGTCAGCCTCGTGATATACCTGAAACCATGGATTCTACCCGCGATTGGCCCAAGCAATCCATGGATTTGGATTCTATCTACTGAGTACAGTATATAATATTGGATTATGTCTATACAAATCGAATAACTTAGATCCTAACAGTTCAGTGCACTATGGGCAGCATACTAGCACTGTAATAAGAAACCTGGGTACTGGGCGGGTAGCTGCATGCAGGAGATGCACCCGCTGGCACAGCTTTACGAGGCGCTTCGGGGAATTCGATACGAGCTGCAGAATAAACAACACAACACATTTCAATCCCTTTTGTTGGTCGGTATATTCTCCATTTGCCTGGGCGACTACCCAGGTACCAACTAGTATGTATATGTATCTGTGACTAACTAGTTATAGATAGTCGGGCACTCCTTTAGCAACCAATAGGCATCATTTCTTCACCATATCCCCTGCTGACTTCAAATTGATGGATGTGACCAGAAGCTAACAAAAATAGATCACGCCCCATACCTAGCTACTCCGTACGAGTATGTACTTATACCAAAGGATTTTTCGGGAGCCCCGTTGCCCAGGCTGTTGCTTCAATCCTGCAGTACGCACTCACAGCCTGGCATTTCATAGGATGCAAAAATCAATTGCGAATTCATACCCAGGTGCTTATGTATGTGGCAACAATCTCATTATGATAGACACGGTTTTCCATGTGGTTTATAGTCCGATGAAGACTAGATATCTTCATGCTGATATAAATAAATTATCAAACCGTAGATGATGATTATTTAACGCCAAAGGGCGCCAAAGATAGGCCATTAATAGATCTCCCAGCTTCCCTGCCATGACATTTTGACACCGTCCCAATCTATTGTCCTCGGAAAGCTGGCTTGCGCTTCTCCGCAAAAGCACGCAGCGCCTCATACCGATCTTCTGTCTCAATGACACCCTCATAAGCAGCATTCTCCGAAATCTCCCCCAAAGCAGCGCCTTGTACAGCAATCAGAGCATGTTTGATAGCAATGGGTCCACCTTCGCAAATATCCAGTGCCAGCTTGATACTCTCCCGGAGAACCTTCTCGCGCGCCACACCCTCTTGGGCTGCTTCCTCGGGGAGCACTTCCACCAGGCGATCGCAGAGTCCCATGAAGTAGGCCTCGGGACCATACACCCGGCGGCCAGTCAAGATCATATCGCGAGCGCGAGGAATGCCGATCAGCCCAGGCAGTCTGTAAGTACCGCCTGCACCGGGAATGATAGCTAAGCGAGTCTCGGGGAGGCCGACGGTACTCGATGAACCGAAAACGCGGAGGTGGGTGCACAGTGCGAGCTCCAGGCCGCCGCCTAGGGCCATAGAGGATATCGAGGAGATGGTGGGAATTTCAAGCTGAGCGAGGCTGGTGAAGGTGCTTCGGAGCTTGAGTAGGAAGTCCTCTACCCTATTTTTTTATGGTGACGTGACCATCGGTTAGCCGAATGCATTGAAGAATGAAAGGGAAGTACCACGTGAAAAGGGGAGGTTCTCACTCAGCAGGTGACATTGTAGCGCGCTCCTTCAGGTCTGCGCCGGCGCAGAATGCCGCGTCGACATTGCTACCAACGACCAGTGCCCGGGTTGGTCCATTTCCCTTTTCCGCAGCGATGGAGTTCACCTGCGATGACAGGTTTTCGAGCAGCTCACGCGAGATAGCATTGCGGGCCTTTGGTCGGTTCAGTTGCAGAACGCGCACATGTCCGGATCCCGGGGCAGGAATTTGTTGGGTCAGGATGAGGTCGTCGGCGCTGCTGGTGCTGTACCGCGAGACGAACATCCGGGTGCATGTCGCGGTTGGTCGTGAAAAGAGTGGGGTGGTGAGGCGGACGAGCCGCGGTGACAATGTGGTAGCCATCTTCAAGGTCTGTGATGATCGAATAAAAATCGATCACAAGAACGGGCAAAGGTAGTACAGAGTACAGAGTACAGACAGGGTGAAGAAGTCGGAATCGGGAGATGAACTCGGGTGTGGGGAAGCTGCACCGACGATGGCCGACGGTTGCCGGGCGGTCGATCCGGCCTTTTGCGGCTACACAACAGAAGAGGCCGAGGCAGAGGTAACTATAAAATACCAGGCATCGAAAGGATAAATAGTCGAGATTTAGAATAGCTTGAATGTTGGAAGTTTAAGAATAAGAAAGAACTCACCCAATTATCATCCAGGAAAAGCTAAAAAGAAGCTCGATCGCCAATATTACTAGGTAGTCATACATCGAACGACGTTTCTACTTCATTTCCCTTTGTCGTATGGTGCGCCAGATACCTAGGTAGTTACTAGTACAGAGACAACGATAAAACTTTTCTGAATTGTGAATAAAACTCACTGATTCTTTTGCCATTAGAGTACTCGAAACTTCCAAGGTTCCTGGCTTTGATTCTTCGAGTTCTTTGACGCTCGATGTTTCTTTGAGGGGATGTTGGGTGTAGGGTTTTATAGCAGCCACTTGCTGGCAAAATGATTTTCCTGCAGAATTATTCTCCCGACTTTGATTTGAGATTTCTTTTTTTACTTAACAGTTCACCCATCATGGAAAACCAAGTGAACTTACCTGCCACTATTTCTCTTGAAGGGCGCGCATTACATTCTATGGAGGAAGCATTTCAGATTCTACACGAATGTTCACAAGATGAAGTCTATCTCATAGCAATGCAAATGCAATCTGAGCTTATGGGGCTTATTGAGACCGGCGAGGACTATCTGTATAAGCTTCATGAGTTTGTTGACAGAGGAGAGTTCTGGCGCGGTCATGAGTCAGACGAGGACAGCTTCCGATATAATTGGAGAGCAGCTAGGGATGCTATCGCCAATATGACAAAGACATTGGAGTATATTGACAGCATCTGAGAAAAAGCTATCAAAATATGGGGAAGCGATCATGCTAAAGCATTCTTCTTACGTGTTAAGACCCGTGCTATGGCGGAAAAAGTAAGCAGGCTATTGACAGCCAACCTCGAATAAAAAGCCATACGCCTTATGATCAATCATGAGATTGTCAATCGTTTTTCTACAAAATCGCGAGGTATTTATGAGCATAAAGCTGTGAGGCAGGGTGATATTACTAAAGTTTTCTCTAACCGCTGGAAGAGACCTCTTTCGGGAGAGAAACTTCAGAAACTCAGTCTTGAGATAGATAGATGATGATGGATACTGTTGTCCAGCCGGCAGTGGAAGGGCTCTTGTGAATGATTCATAGTTTGAAAGCGACAACGATTCATCAAACGACTTTGTTGATATTTCCTATTCCGAATCTTCAGACGAGTTCCGACGTGAAGCCTCTCAAGATTCTATATATAGAGAAAAATCAGAAATTGCTGAGAACCTGGGGGAAAAGCGCAAGAGAAAGAATCAATCTCAGTGCGGCTGCCTGCTCTCCGATCGCACTCTCCGTCGTGTCTTTCGAGATTCTGAACCGCGAATGAAATATCGGAAGGCCTTACGCAAAGTTGGACGGAAGATCTATAAAGGCCACGACAAAATCGGCACCAAAACCATTTGCTCAAGTCACAGTCGACAGCTTTGTAGCATGCTACGAGTTTCAGTCAATAACACACATAGAGAACTAGTACATCATCTCGATAAGCCGTATAATGGACTAGGTTCATGGGAAGACACTCGCGCTCAATATTCCGACTGGTTCCAACGTACTCAACCGAGCGAAATCCCCGTCCATATGTTTCGCTTCCAGGAAAAGAACGTCCGACAGATCGTCAAAAAATGGGACAGCCTTGAGTATCTCACATCTCAGAGCCTTTATCGACGATGTTTTGGGAAAAACCAACACCGGCTCTTAAACCCACAGATAATCTTATACGAATGAACGGCAGCGTGATCATTCCAGGATTTTTCAGATGGCTCAAGTACGATTTCAATGGGATGCATCCTGGTGGTATTCTTCGACTGGCTCTACAAGAATTCGCGATGTACGACTGGAATTTTCGCCCTCGCACAGATCATCCCCGACTTGGTTGGGCGACAAACATGTGATATAGCTTGATTCAACAATTAGTGCGGCAAGATGTAGTCTATTGGATGTGGCATGTCTATTTCCGCCCTGAGCACATGTGGCGTTTAATCTCTGTCCCTCATTGTTCCCAGGGCGCTTATCCTGGAGAAAGAACATGTTTCCAACAGCTCGATATAAATGTACGTGACTTTGTGAATATTGGCTATGGCAAGAGCTTTTTACAGGGCTCTGTGTCTCTTGATAATGGAGATGAGCAAAATTGTGACAAGTCATTAATCGGCATGAACCGTCATCTGGAGCCTTGGTGGAATGATGTATCTTCTCGTGATCTGGTAAAGGATGCTATCTTCAGCAAACTATCTCTGAGTTGTGGACATCAGAAGATGCAGACAAATACGGCATTGATTGGGTCAAGCAAGTCTGTCAAGCCACAGATGTGCGTTTCAGTCTCCCAAGGCCTCCCATATAATCTACAGATCAGACAACGATTCAACGGAACACCATCTGAGCATGTTACGTTGGGATAAACGATGATCATTCCGACCTGGATCTCGCCGAATCGGGTACCTGGGAGGAGCTATCCCGCAGTCATCGTGACTTTATACCAGTCGATAGGACTTCAGAAGATCAAACAAATAATGGAAGCGATGGGAAGGTGCAATCTATTTTCCCAGGTACCTTCAGGTTGGGCGGTCTTAGTGCTGTCTCAGATGCACTTGTCGGCAGGGAAAGATGGAATAATACAGAAACAATTCAGATGGTGAACTTATTGTTTGGATCAGATGAGAGTGTGGCTTGAAAGTACATACAGGACTGGAGAGAGAATGCCTTCGCACGATATGTGACGGCTTTGATCGCATGGTGGAAGCTGAGAGGGTTACGTATGGAGAAAATTCATATTTTGAGCGTGTTGAAGAGGGATTAAGTACCCAACCAACCTTTGTGCAAGGAAGGAACTTTGAAGATGGAATACACCCGAGCATTGAGTGAGCAAACTTAGATAGAGCTAAAATTACTTGTCCCTGGAGAAGAGTTATTGAGGTGGTTGGTTTCTTTTTATCTAGACTTTGAATCATCATGCATACTAGTATCATATTACAGTACTACATAGAATGTCAATTAGGCCAAGTATGACGCGTATAAGAGAAAGATTAGACCAGGAATGATCCAAAGACATGCTGGAATTCATGTTAAGCCCGGATGCGGAGGTAGCCAAATAAAATCTATGCGCTAGGTATCGAAGAAATCCCATCCCGAATGTGCTAAGTGAAAACAGTACAAATGGCAACTGTTATTGTTGCGGCATTTCGAGACCTTCCATACCACCTAGATCGTCCCAGAAGTCACTAAAGCTCACATTCTCTTGCTCAAACATCTGTTGGACCTGGACCATCGCGGATTGCTGCCTCTCGAGAGTGAAACCACCAGGCTGGGAGCTCTCCCACTGTACCAACTCCACCCAGCGGTAGAAGAGATCTTCCTTGCCCAAGGCAGCGAGTTTTTCTTTGAAGGTAAGGACTTGGTCTCGGTGCGCATTGCGCTCACGACCGGCGGGGGTATTCTCATCCGCGACGCGCCAGACCAGCCAACCATCGGTGTCCGTGTAAACCAGCACAGCCGTGCGGAACTCGTCCAGCTGAACGCCATCACCCTTGCGGGTCAGGTTGACCAGCGAGTGAGCGGAGATCATAGCTTCATAATCCAGGACCCAGTCCTCGTCCACAAGTAGATAACCAGTCTTTCCAATCCGTTCCGGGGTTACGGCGGCCACAATCTTGTCACGCATGGCCTCATCATGGCGAATCCACTTGTTGCGCTCCAGCTTGCGGCTCCAGCTGGGGCTACTCCTGCGAACAATTATTTCACGATCAAGGAACCCGACCGCACGGCGCCAGCGCACGGGACCCATGACAAAGTCGTATGGCCAGGACAAAAGCAGCGTCACGAGGAAGTAGTCAATCAATATCGTGCCTGTCCGCCGGAGAATAGCCTGTGCTATCTCGATCCAAGAAGCTGTTGAAGTGTCGAAGCTTAGGGAACTCTCCATTCCTATGAAGACAGCTATAAGCGCTGGGTAGGTGCTAAAGCCCCAGTAAACTCGCAAGGCTATCACTGCAGCCACAACGGTGTTCACGACGGACGGCACTAGGAATGTTTGCCATTTCAAGTCTGTCGCAGTTGTATCAATATGTACCAGGTATACCTCGTCGGGAGAGAGCTTTTCGACAAAGGGTTTTAGGATCGTAGGAACTTTTGTGAATGGTGGGATAGGTCCAGCGGAGGCGGAGCTTGGAGTCGAGGCGCCCGATGAGCCTGGCGATGAGGCGGGCGTCTTTCGACGCGATGACTTTGCCATTACAGAGTTTGTATGCTTGCTAGGTATAGTATTCGTGCCGAAACGAAATGTGTGGAGTTGTTGCGCGGCCAGGGACTCCTAGTACCTTGGGCCGATTATTTGTATGGAGGCGCGTCGCGGGGGAGATGATCAGAGCAAATGAGCCGGTCACATGGGGGGTATTGCGTCCAAGTCAGTGAGCAGCGGGAAGTGCTCGCATGATTCGAAAAATAGAGTGGGATGAGAGGCGTTGGCGCCCAGTGGAGCGCGTGTGTGGCTGTGGCAAAGGGAAGCATTCAAACGGCAGGCAACTTAACCCCTTTGGGAATGCGGAGCGCGGAGCTATCTCTATTTACTCCGTTACTTCCTTTCCCTCTTACTTTGACTCTAGGATTCCCTCACCTTTCCCACCCGCGCAAGGGGGGTTTTATTTTAGTCGACGCGATGTCAACTCCTCGCAAGACTGACCGAGTCTCTCTCGCGCGTCATCATCATCCACATTCACCCTTTGGTCGCGCTGAAGATCCAAGCCACGAATTCGAATTCGGGACAAACCTCGCCCTCTCTCCCCCACCAAACAGAATGGGACGCGTCCTCGACACAACTATCGCACTGGAACTCTAGCAGGGGCCTATCGAGCGGTCTCACGAACAAACATGTCAGAAGAAGGCGTTCATCTGGTCTCGACTCCCAGTCCGCGACAACCGTGGAATCGTATCAATAAGCTGTCACCAACCTCTGACACTTCCAATCCTCCCGAGGAACTTGTCGATGCATACAAGAGAATTGAAGAAGATGGAACATTGGCCGATTACGTACAGTGGGATGATCCGGAACTTTCATCCAGAAAGAATTCACCAGGCCGTCTCAGTCGCTCATCGTCCAGACAACGAGGAAGAGAATACGATGGCGGATCCCGCGATGGGCGAGCTTTTTCCGAAGAAGGACTATTCGATGGGATTGTACAAAACTCAAATCGGCGTACAACAGATTACTCCAGAGACGAACAGCGGCTGAGACGAGTCACTGGAAAAGATTCCCCGGTCTTCAGCAAGGCCAAAACTACCAGTCACTCGGCGGCTTTGACAGCAGACAACCTACAGCGGCGCGAGAAGGAAGAGCGTCCTTGGGAGCAAGAGAATCATCGCTATCACCAAGAGCAACAGCCAACATCGGATTATGAGGGTGATCGTGGTCCATCACTCAACCTACCACGTACCTGGGGCAGTCGCGCCGCACGCCGGCAGGAATGGCTACGCAATGTCAGTGGAAGCTCTGGGTCGGAACCACCAGAGAACAGTAATCGTGAGATTTCCAGCGAAGCTCCAGCACCCAAGACAAACACAAATGAGAACCAAAGGCCTGCCCGTTCATCTCATATAGACCGGGGTAGCGCTTCCAACCAGGGAGCCCTCGAAGAACGTGTGGCCAATCTCCGTACGCAAAACTTCCATGAATCAAAGAACCAAGCGGGACTTGGGTTGGATCAACATTCGCTACAAACTGATGGTGCCGCTATTCCTAATACGCCGATCGTGGTCTACAAGAACTCGGACATGACTAGACCCAGTACAACTAAGCGAGATTCACAAGAACTCCTCCGCAGACTTTCGAGGACCGAAAGCCCGAAGATGGATCAGGTTCAGACCCCAGACCCGCCAAAACTATTTGAAAGAAAAATATACGACAAGACCCCCCCGGGTGACCGGTGCATGGATCGATACACCTATGACCGAACGAGCTGTCGATATCCCGAGTGATTTGACCAAGGATATAGTGGCCTCACCGGCACCTCCCAATGCAAAGGAGCAATCTGCTTCGATCCTGAAGCCAGCAGCGGATGTTAAGCCTGCGGCCGAGCAAAAAGACTCCAAAACGACAGAAACCAAAAAGGCTTCTCCCGAGCCAACTATTGGCAAACAATCGAAGTCAAGGCCTCCCCTTGCTCGACCTAAGTTGCCAAAAAGTGCCCTTGAAACGGTCATAGAGGATGCTAGCTCTGGTAAAGAGGCTCTCAATATGGGTGACGATACCATCGAATCTCTCCAGGCGATTTTGGATGATCCGACCGACCTGAAGACTGAGGAAGACGAGGAGACCACTTATAAAAAGATGCTCCACCGACTCGGGCTTTTGCCTCAAAATCGCGAAGGCCTTGATGATTACGATCGAATAGATACCAAGTTGCAATCGTTGGCACATCACATCGAGGAAGTGAAGAAGGGTCTGGACCGCCTACAGGGACATGTTGCCAACGGATTTGAGAAGAAAGAAACTACCAAGCCGCCGCCTACTATTTTAACTCCGACTTTGAACGAGCCCTGCAAAACCGGTAGTCTGCCTTCGGATACCCGTATCTATGCCGCCATCCCTCTTCCTCGATTTTGGGAACGCAACCTCACATCCCGACGTCTGAAACTTACTAAGCTCGGCTGGGCCACGCTCATCTTTACGCTCTGGTATATCATTGAATGCACGATGACAGAAATGTTCTCTCATTCCATCATCGCCGATACGTGCACGGGTTACTGCCTCCGCCCCGACGCACCTGTCTTCCCCTTTGTGACCGTGACGATGCTGTGGCGCTGGTCTCATTTATCGGTTCTCCTGGCACCGATTATTACTCTCAGCGTAGCTCTCTTCCGCCTCGTAGTGCAATTACTGGGGCTATGGGATGGTTATATGGACGAGCCAGCCGGTTTGGCGAATCTTGTCGGCGAGATTCGTATCAACGGAACCCCAGTGGCGTTCCCTTGGTTGACACCGCCGTCCAAGACAAAGATATTCTCACCATCCTCTGTTCTACCTCCTCCTCCTCCACCACCACCGCGACCCGAGTGGACTCAGACCCACGGTGCTTCAACACATGCAGGGGATGATCAGGCCTCTATGGATGATGACGAATTACTTTGAAGGAAAGGCAAGGCATTTACGAAGGCGTTTAGTAGAGTCGTTTGACTATTTTCAGAACAGGCGTTGCTTTGAGCGGAGAATTAAGGCTAGCTAGTTTTTAGGATACCCAAAGTTTCAACAATTGAGATTTCATTACTTGATTTAGTCTGCTGGGTAAAACATTAGAAGTCATATCAAAAGGCCATTGTATTGCGGCTGTGCCCAGCTGTGGCTGAGCATTCATGCGCATAGACCCTTTGTCACCTGTTAATGCCATTCGGTACTAGTTTTCTAGTAAGTTTCTGTAACAGTGTAACGTCCTGAGCTCAATCCTCGCCTTTAAAGTTGAGTTTCAGGCAGACAATATCGTCATACGGAAATTCGAACCCATCGTACTAGTACTAGTAGTAACCTTGGAAGGTTAGTAACATAGTAATTATAAAGCTACAAGGATCCCCAGGAGACTGTCAATACAACTTGAACTCCTAGTTTAGGTAGTATCTGTTTTTACAAACTCAAAATGAACGCTAAGTCGATATATGCGGGGGACGCGAGCTCCCATATATGCGACTAACACTATGTTCCCAAGGGACATTGCTCTTCCAGACGATCTCAAATTTGATGTTGCAGGGCCGTCGGAATGGGAATACGCGCCTGGCGATACTATAATAGCGAATTTGATGCGCAAGAGCCCACTTGTTACTCCTGAATGCACAGTGAGGGTTTGGCTTGCAGGTAAGACGATTCTCGACTGGGGAGATCCGATGGATTTGACGACGTAATTCACTTATTTTGACCATGAGGACTAGGGCGTGTGAGAACGAAGATCTGGCGAGACAAAGATTCACGATATGCTCCTGATGTTTACAATGATCATTGTGATCTTTTCGATGGCGCGCAAGATGTTGTTCGCGATGGACCGCTGCACCACCCGGAGAATAGTAACGACCCTCTTAGCTGGCCTATCTCAGTCCAAATCCCCACCATGCCATCACCTTCAATAGGAAAAGGCCACACCGACGTAACGAGCTTCACACCCCTGGAGAACCCTTCTACATTCCTAGCTGGGACGTTCAGCGCACATGGAAGTGACTACCCCAACAGATTGGAGGGTGTGGTGGAATATGCAATCCACGCTCGTCTGAACTACATTCACCACGGAGCCCACAAAGTCTTCTACACAACCTTGCCAATCACGCTTAGACACCCCGTGGACTCAAGCGTTCGTCTGGGCGAGTCCAAAGAATGTCGCATTCATCAACCGCTAAAGATCCAAAGCCATCGCCTACTACCGGGAATGGAAGACGCAGAGCTATCTCTTGGGCAGAAGGCTCGCAAGCTATTTAATTCGTCTAAAGTACCCGAATTTCGGTATGAGATTACTATGCAAATGCCGACAGCGATCCAGCTCAACAACCGCGAGCCTTTTCCCTTGGTCTTCGGTATTTTTGCCCGCGATGATAAAACAAGTGAAGGCATCATGGCTCATCCGCAGAAGATTCAAATCAACTGGGTTAATCTGCGTCTCCATTGTACGACTGGTTTAATGGCACCGAGTAATTTGCGAGAAAATTACGCACAGAAGGACCAGGAGACAAATAAGATGAATTTACACCTACACAAGGTCTTTGATGAGCTCGAGGCTCCACTCATGGTAAGTTCCACGGGGAAAGGAAACGAGGCTATCCATTTGGGCAACATGTTCCAGCTCAACTTAAAATCCGATGGGTTGTATACTGCAGACAAACGTGTGGTTCGCTGGCCCAGTCTCAACAGTATCTATCCCGATTTCACAGCATACGGTATCAAACATACACATTTTCTGGAACCGTCCGTCAATCTTTCAATCGCAGGGGAAGAAAAAACCGTCAAAGTCAAGCCCCAGACACTGCAGATTATAGGAGCTCCCTGAATTGCTTGTATATATATGCCTTTGTGTATAAGAGTAACTACCTAAGTACTACTAGTAGTAGGAATATATTGAAGGAAGCCTCAGGCCAAAATTAGCCCACCCCGCCTGACTCACGGCCGATCTTTTGCGAGGGGCAGAATTTCCCCGATTATCCCGCGCGACTCAGGCTGACACAGGATTCCATCGCAAGACTCGAAAGCAGAGTATGAGCTTCATACCTTTTAAATCCCCATCAAGCGCTAATATATTTCCATAAAGTCTTTCGAAACCCTCCACTATGGCCAACGAAGCAGGTCAACCCCCCGCGCTCGACAATCTGTCACTCGCCGATAAGACCCCCGCCTCAAAGGCCAGCGCACAGGTCATCACTCCATTCGATGTCTCTGGCGGAGTTGATGAGACTGGAAAGCTCCTCCCGGTCGATTATGAAAAACTCACGCGCGAATTCGGCGCCACTCCCATTACCCCCGATCTACTCGAGCGGTTTGAGAGAGTTACGGGACATCGCCCACACCGATTTATGCGCCGCGGAATTGTCTTCAGTCACCGTGACCTGACCAAGATCTTGGACCTTCATGAAAAGGGCAAGGAATTCTATCTCTACACGGGACGTGGACCCAGTAGCGATAGCATGCACGTTGGACACACTGTCCCGTTCGAGTTTACAAAGTAAGACTCAGGATCTGTTCTTTGCAAAGGCTCTAAACATGATTTGCTTACATACCTCCCCCAATACAGGTGGCTTCAGGATGTTTTCGATGTTCCCCTCGTGATCATGTTGACCGACGACGAGAAATATATGCACTCTCAGAAAATCAAGGATGTGGAAGACGCCAAGAACTTTGCAAAGTCAAACGTCAAGGATATCATTGCTGTCGGATTTGACATGAAGAAGACTTTCATCTTCAGTGACTTTGAGTTTGTTGGAGGCGCATTCTACGAGAACATTTGCCGAATGGCGAAGCGTATCACAATCAATCAAGTGCGCGGTACCTTTGGATTCAACGACAGCAACAACGTGGGTGAATTCCACTTCTGCGCGACCCAATCCGCCACTGCCTTTGCAACCAGTTTCCCCCACATCTTCGGTACCGACAAGAAGAAGGTCTCCTCCATTCCTTGCCTCATCCCATGCGCCATTGACCAAGACCCTTATTTCCGTCAATGTCGTGAGCACGCAGAGAAGATGAAGTATAAGAAGCCTTCGCTCATTCACTCCATCTTCCTGCCTGCCCTTCAGGGACCTGGATCAAAGATGTCGGCTAGTATCGACTCCTCTGCCATTTTCATGAACGACACCCCCAAGCAGATCAAGACCAAGATCAACAAGTACGCTTTCTCTGGGGGCAAGGAAACTGCCGAAGAGCACCGCGAGTTGGGTGGCGACACCAAGGCCGATGTGCCTTTCCAGTACCTCACCTTCTTCCTCGAGGATGATGAGGAGCTTGAGCGTATTCGTGCCGCCTACGAGAAGGGCGAGATGCTCACTGGTGAGATGAAGCAGCGCTGCATTGCTGAATTGCAGGAGTACGTGAAGGGTTTCCAGGAGCGCCATGCCAAGGTCACCCCTGAGATCGTGGCCCAGTACATGAGCCAACGTCCTTTGGAGTGGAATGGAAACCCCAATCCAGTTGTGGCCGAGAAGAAATAGAGCTGGAAAGCTTATATTTCTTTCATCATGTTGCCCCAAAAGTGTCACCCCGCCCTCAAGCGTACGCAATCTTACTTGTATTTCTTTCGGTGTTTCTCCAAATGTGTCACGTCTCGCTCGAGCGTACGCGATCTCGCTTGCTTGCATAGCCTCTTCATAGCCTAGACGCATGGGAGTATTGCCAATACATACACATCTTTTCAACGACAGAGTTTCATTCTTCTCACCTTTCTTGCTCATAGTACATAATACTAGCTTTTTTACACCGCAGCTATCACTGCGATGAGTGCTATACCCAATTACCTCTTCTCTATTCGCCTTTCTTACTATTTGCTGTTTGCTCTCTTCGAAGCTAGAAGTGGTGTATGCGTTTGTCGTGGGGTTTAAATTTGCTTTTCGACTTGACGACCCAGTACAACTACGCCGGGCATAAACCCGCGGACCCCATTACTTAACCAGCATTCCTCGCCATCGACAAGGTCAAGCTGCGGAATAACTTCTTCCACACAGAATCCTTGTGATAGAGCGTATCTTCTGCTTGTCCCGGCATTGCCGCCGCTGCTCAGAGGCGGCGTAATCCAAGCAGACTCGGCCGAGTCTTGACCAGATAGCCTGGAGATCGGCCCACGACGCCGGAAGTATGGGGTGGTAATGCTTCCCTCCATAATTTCACCTCTCGGATTGATCACTAGAACCTCCGATGTTTCTGCCGGTGAGGTGATTCCCGCTCGCAATCGTGCAGCTGTATAGTCATTCCGAGCAGTGGTTTTGTGCGTGGTGAAGCCGGACGGTAGTGTTGGCTGGCTATCGACATATACCCGCCATGAATGCGATGGACGACCAGCATGTAAAGACGGAGTCAAAAGATTGAATGGATCGAATGCGGCAGTTGGGTTGACATCGACCGAGCCCTTGCCGTTGATATCGACCACAATTCTCAACCGCCATGGCTTGCTCCGGTCCGGTATTGACTCGTCCAGGAACCTTTCAAAGCTTGACAAGTCTTGCTGCAGCCATTTTGACGCGTTTTCCCATCCAAAATGGCGCGCCGCAGCTACCAATCTGTCACGATGGTACGCCAAGAGGTAGTAGGGCGAGTTTTGGGGGTCGGGATAGCTGTCGGAATTGTAGAGAGTTGCTTGTGGTAGGGAAGGATCGTATCGAAGGGAAGAGATAATCTCGAAGGTCTGCTCAGCATCAGCGGTTGGGATTGAAGCCATTGTCGCGCACCAGATTTTTCTGTAGGTGTGACGTCGCCAGTGCTGTTAGTGATGCATGAGTCGCGATGGGGCCCTGCGTCGTCATCAACAAGGCTACCCTCGGTCGCTGGGCGCGGTTCCTGCGCGATGGGATGAGATGGCTTTGAGTAATCGACTCAGACGATTGTGGTTTTAATTCCCACAGGTCTCCCTGATCCAGCGTCGTCAGTTCCCGGCATTGCTGGGGCAATTCGGGTTTGGTAATGTGGAGAACTGGCGGAGCGTTACCGTCGTGGAGCGCGTGATTGGCCCGTGCCGGGGATGATCGAACTTGAGACTTTTCCACCAGCTTCGTCCGTTCTCCCTATCTCACACTTTACACTTCACGCCGTTGGCGACTAGGACTGGTTCGTTTCCGCTGAATTCATCTACGCAATCTAATCCCCATCGCTAACCTATTGCCCCCTGATAGAATCAGGATTTTAATAGCATCGGTTGCCGTGTCCGCTCCATATACACATCATGTCGAGCCCATCGCCGCTACCTACGCCCGCCGTTCAGAACGTGGTGCTGGACACCTCGAGTCTTCCTGCTTCTACTTCCTCATCGGTTTGGGATCGCGTGTCGAAGTGGGTGTCTGAGAATAAGGCTTTGGTCTACACCATTGCCGGTGTTGCCGTCGTTGTCACCAGCGCTGGTGTTGTCTATTACCTCTCCGATTCCAGCAAGCCTGCCGCCTCTACTTCCTCTACCCCCAAGAAGAGCAAGAACACGCGCCGGAAAGAGAAGAAGAAGGCCGAGGAGAAGGAAAAGGCCAAGTCCGCTTCAGTGCAGGATGGTTTGTCTCATCCCTCCCCCATTGCATGGTATGATTGCGTGGATGAACGCGGCTAACGTCAATGGTAGAATCCACCGCACAGAAGGCCGAGGAGCCTGCCGAGGACCTTCCCGAGGTTGATGAGGCCACCGTTGGCCAGTTGTCCGAGGAGGTACGTGTTTGCCATGACTACGCGAACCAATTCCATTGTCATCCGTTACTAACAATCCCTGGAAGACCCGGAAGGATTATGCCGCGAAGCTGAAGGCCGCCGGAAACAAGGCCTACGGTGCCAAGGACTACCCCAAGGCCATTGATCTCTATGGTAGAGCCATCATCTGCAAGCCGGACCCCGTCTTCTACTCGAACCGTGCCGCCTGCTACAATGTGTTGTCCGACTGGGAAAAGGTTGTGGAGGACACCAGCGCCGCTCTGGCTATGGACAGTGAATACGTCAAGGCTCTGAACCGACGTGCCATTGCTTATGAGCACCTCAGCAAGTACAGCGAGGCTCTCCTCGACTTCACTGCCAGCTGCATCATCGATGCTTTCTCCAACGATGTCAGCCGTAACTCCCTCGAGCGTCTGCTGAAGAAGGTCGCCGAGCAGAAGAGCAAGGCCATCCTGGATGCTCGCACCAAGAAGCTTCCCAGCGCCACTTTCGTTTCCAACTACCTGCAAAGCTTCCGTCCCCAGACCCTTCCCGAGGGTCTGGAGGAGTCCGTTGAGCTTAGCGAGGATTCCGGAAAGGGTTTGCTGCGCAAGGGTATGGTTGCCATGGCCCAGAAGACTGGCGAGGGTTACGAGGAGGCTGCTGCCACCTTCGAAAAGGCCATTCAGGCCGGTGATCTGGGCGACTTCGAGGCCCTTGCCCTCAACATGCGTGCTACTTTCACATACCTCGGCGGTAACGCCATTAATGCGCTGGAGGACCTGAACAAGAGTGTTGAGATCCAGCCATCCTTGGTTCAAAGCTACATCAAGCGTGCTAGCTTGCACCTGGAGCTCGGCAACAGGGATGCTGCCGCCGATGACTTTGAGCTCGCCATCAACCACAACAAGGATGACCCCGATATTTACTACCACCGGGCCCAGCTTCACTTCATCCTGGGTGAGTTCGCCGAGGCCGCCAAGGACTACCAGAAGTCCATCGACCTGGACCGTTCCTTCATTTTCTCGCACATTCAGCTTGGTGTGACACAGTACAAGATGGGCTCCGTTGCCTCTGCCATGGCCACCTTCCGTCGCTCCGTCAAGAACTTCGAAGAGGTTCCCGACGTGTATAACTACTACGGTGAGCTTCTGCTCGACCAGCAGAACTACGCCGAGGCCATTGAGAAGTTCGACAAGGCCGTTGAGATGGAGAAGCTGAGCAAGCCCATGGGCATCAACGTCTTGCCCTTGATCAACAAGGCTCTGGCCTTGTTCCAGTGGAAGCACGACTTCCAGGAGGCCGAGGGCCTGTGCCAGAAGGCGCTGATCAGTAAGTTTTGACCTTGAAGTTAGATCCCTACCATTCTGGAGCATTCATACTAACGTCTACGCAGTCGACCCCGAATGCGACATCGCTGTCGGCACCATGGCCCAGCTGCTCTTGCAGCAGGGCAAGGTTTCGCAGGCTCTGAAGTACTTTGAGCGTGCCGCCGAGCTTGCCCGCACCGAGGCCGAGATCATCAACGCCATCTCATACGCCGAGGCCACCCGGACCCAACTGGAGGTCCAGGAAAAGTACCCCCAGCTCGCAGCGCGTCTGAACACCATGGGCGCCATGGGCGCTGGTGGACCTCCTGGCATGTAAAAGTGACAACCGCTTGATTTCGTATTGTTTTGTTTTTCGCCATCGCTATTTCTGCCATCTTGCCCTCTTTAATCACGTCTTTTCTTGTCCTCCGGATGGGGATGGGTCTATATTTCATGACCCTTTTTTTATTTCTTTTCTCCTGCTCGTGGTCCTCGGTCTTCTGTCTTTTTTCTCCCCATGTATTTACTACACGTTATCCCCTCACAACAGATTCCCAAGTTTGTTTCTTTTCTTTTTGTTTTTCCCCTACTCATTGTTTTCTTTTTTGCGATCTTTGGACTACAGGGCTGAGATATCCGAGAGATACGAGAGAGAGGCGGGGTTGGGAGAGGGCCGTCTCCGTTTTCAAGTCCCGACATTTTATCTGCATGAGGCTATGAAAGGGTGGAGAGTAATTTGTGTACTATAGAGGTGAATGTGTGAATGTGACTGATTGAAGATTCCCTTAACTGTATGTGTACATAAGGTACCCTAAGACATAAGGTAGCTGGAATGATCTCCACCGCCCCATCACGATAAGAGATGCCCCACCTGGTAAGATCCCATAGTATACTCCGTACCATAGCTAGTTAACAAAGTGCTAGTAGGGTAAGTGTACACTAATAACTACGACATCATCTTTAGGCTCTAGGAAATCCAGAGCACCCATTAGTGTGGCTCCTCGAAAGTATCCCTGGGTAAAAAAAGACGAACTAGTGGAAAGTGCCAAACTTTTGAGGGTGAGCCTTGACCAACTGATTCATCATCTACCCCTCCCCTCTTCCACTCCCCTCTTACCTTTTACCTTTCTCTCTTCTTCCACCTTACTTCTCCCTCATAATCCTAGGAAAGATACTTCTTTATCTTATCCACTGCTTCAACTGCTGGTCCTGTTTCCCTCCATCGCAACCCCATCTGCTTGGACGACCCCGGCCGTACCGCAAGCTCTTGTCAGCCTCAGTTGCCTTATCGCCCTGCTGCAGCCTAAGCGTCACACGTCGATCAGGTATATCCTCATATGATAGAGTCCCTTCCTTTTACCTCAAATCCTGCCTCCAACCTTCCCATCGACTAACACGAGATTTGAGTACAACCCAGTCTCTCTCCTCGGTTTCCACTCGGACCTTGTCCACCACTGTACCCTGTGACTGCCCATTCTGAAGCTCGCGCGATCTGCAACCATGACGGATACGCAGGGTAGGTTCCAAACCCCACTTCCATTCTACCTCCAACCCTCCCCCTTCGAACTCGATTTCTGATTATCATTATTTGTAGTTGCGATCACCTTACTCCCCATCAACTCCCGGGAAGATGCAAATCCAGCTTCTCGACGGCTGGTTCTGTCCGAAGATAACCCTGTCATTTTCCTTGGTCGATCGTCAAAACGAGAAATCCGAAACCGTGAGCCAGCGAGTGATAATGGCTGGTATGATTCGCGAGTGATGTCTCGCGATCATGCCGAGCTAACTCTCGAGAACAAGGCAAGCTCATCTTCCCTTTCAAGACTTATGTACCCAAGTAAATTTGTGCTAACCCTCCCTTCAGGACGTCTACATATACGACTCCGGCTCAACTCATGGTACCTGGCTCAACAACCTCAAACTGGTACACGAACAGAAAACTCCTTTGCTGAATGGTGATATTCTACGATTCGGTGTCAACGTAGATCGCGGCGACGGTAAGCTTCGGGATCCCCCGGTTTTCCTATCTTTCCTGTTTTGCTGTAACATTCTGACATCTTTGATAGAGGAGTTTCCTGCACTGAGCGTCCGCTGCGAGATAAAATGGTCAGAAAAAGAGTACGCATTGACACCTCGCTTCCAGCTCGTGAAACCTTTGCTGACCCCTCTCGATGCAGCTCGGTCGAAGAAATCCCAAAGCCCAACATCCCAGAGCCTTCGGTAATCGTATTGAACCAGGAAGAGGCCCCCCGTCCAACCTCATCCAGCAACACGTTCTGTGTACCGGAGGGTGACAGCGATATCGAAGACGTCTCATCTAAGGACATGACTCTCACTGAATTCGATGGAGCGGGCGCTTCAACTATTCCCCCTTCTGTCCGAGCTGCCCCCACGCTTCAGGATATTGTCAACTTGGACGACGACCAGGAGGTCCATCCGACGCATCAACATCACGCTGATCCACCCAAGCAATTCTCTGTTTGGGACTCTGGGCCAGGGGATGCCTATGCGGAGCAAGAGTCGGACCGAGAATATGTGCTTTCCGAATATTCTGAGGAGGAATCGGATCTGGAGTCCTCGAAATCCACTTCATCTCACACCAGTGAAAGTGAAGTTGTCAGAAATCAATTTAAATTCGTTGAACGGTCCGACAGCCCGGAAGACTCAATCTCAGATGAGGATCCTGATCTTAGCGACAATGAAAAGGATGAATGCATTGATCCAAGGGTGCTGGCTCAAAAGAATAGCCTCGAACCCACTCTCTCCGACAAGTTTGGTAACAATGCATGGATGGATCAAAAGGCGGATCAGTCCATCAGTCCGATTAAGCCTTTCAATACTCCCTGTCGCCCCTCCCTGCCCGGATATCCCTATGCCTCATATGGCAGGAGCTACAGTCCTCCAGCTCCCACTGGAGCTGGCAATCATATGCCTCTTCAGCTACCTCCATATTATGACCCCATCAACTCCCCGTACCCAGGTTACAGAGAGGGACCATTTTCGTGGGATTACCAGTCTATTCAACCTCCTCTGCCCCATCCCCCTTATTCGTGGACACAGCTCTCTTCCCATAAGCAAAAGGTTCCTGCTTCGCAAGACAACTCCATGGAAATACTCAAGGATAATATTGAGACGGCTCACGATGATGGAACACCCTTGAAGCCAACTTCGTCGGCCATGAAGCGCAAAGCTTCTGAGATGGAGTCCCAGGATAATCTACAAGATGCCCAAAAGCCCGACCCAGTGTACCTAGCATCTCAGGAGCCCGAACTCGATGAAATCTCCCAATCTATGATAGTATCTGCGATCACATCTGCACTTTCTGAGGCCGGCGAGGAAACCGAACTCGAACCTCCAACAAAGAAAATCAAGCCGTCCCCGGCTCCTCCCAAGAACCTGGCACGCTATACAGCGACTGCCGTTGTTAGTGCTCTACTTGGAGGTCTGGGGACCATCGCTCTTTTGGCGGCTCTACCAGCAGAATACTTCCAGTAGATGTTGGAATCAACAGCGCGACTTTTTCCGGAATTCAATGTCTGTCGGTATTCGCGAGATACTTTCACTTGTCCATGAATGGGTCTTTTCTTTCCTTATCTATTTTCTACCAGTTGCTATGGCTTCAAGCTAATACACCATTGCCTGGCGATCTGGCAGTTTGGTGTTACATGATTTGGCGTTCAGACGTACTGGCTCGGTGGCTCTTCTCATTCTGATATTCTGCTCATCCTCTGTTGTTCCTTTCTTTCAATTTTAAGCTTTTCTATGACTCTAGGTTGCTCTTTCAGTTTAGCAATGTGCCATTTATCATGGCTTCCGTGGTGCTTTTTGTGTGGGCCTTTCCTCGGTGTTGCTTGTCCGTCTTTTCTCAACCTTCGAACATGCTTAGCACGCAGGCCATAATAGGTAGTAAGAATGAATACGAATTTCGTTGCAGATTATCTCACTTCCACCTCTCTATCGTACTCGGGATCAACCCGGGGTCTCCGATGGTTCATGTATGGTCCGTATAGAATCCTTGGAGGCCGCACAGCGCCCTCAACTGCCAGGTACGCCGCCTCTTCCTGGCCTCGTTTGAAAGATCATAGGCTATGATGTCATATCGGTGAAATGTACTTAGAACGAGTGGCTTGCATCTCTGGGAATGTTTGGTCTCCGGCAGTGTCCTCGCCGATAGTCGGAGGATCTAAAAACCACGGCAGCCCGCGGAGCAGGCTGTTCCATCTGATAATCAGATAGATTTTGACAAATTTTAAGTTTAGATGAAGTATTGGAATTCTATTGAAAACCATGTTGTTGGTCATATAAGATACCCTGGTCAATAATTTCCCACCATCGCAGAAAGTGTACCTGGCCAAGCGACCTTGTATCTGCTAGTATTTTCTCTTGTAACGTTGAAGGTGCTTTCTCACTGATACATTTCAGGCACCGATCCTGGTAGTTTCCGAGTCCAACACACTTTATCCTCTGCTTGGTAATTTCTACGCCGAGGGGCCATTTTGTTGCAATATCGACCACGACCAAAATGCCCGACCAAAATGCCCGACCATTCTAGACGCTGGGGCCAAATCAGATCATCCCCCTATTTGATTAAAAGGCGGCGCTAGCGAGAATATCATGCCCACCTCATCAACCGAGCTGCAGCATATTCAAGGGTCTTGGTGTCAGCTGACTAGTGAGATATCCTTTGTCCCTGCAACCCCCCGGGCTGTCGGTCCATCTCTGCCCTCTCCTGTGAGGTTTGTGTCACCGCCTCCCGTCGAACAAAAAGATGTGAACACCGACTATCTCCGCTAGGCTGTTTTTTCCAACCCTGGTGAAGTCTCAGATTGCCCTTCTCTGGGATCGCTGATCTCGGCCGCAAAAACGCCGCTGCGCGCCAGTGTAAGGCCATTCCTCCAGTCCCAATTCAAATCCCGGGCCTAGCGTGTGATGGGGAATGGCTGGCTGCAGTTCACTCGAGGTTCATCTCGAGTGGGTCGAACAAGCCCGGTGAAGGTGGTTTCTGACCAAGAGACTCCATGGAAAACGGAATTGAAACGATAGCTTTTGCAGGTGCATTTAGTGCTGACGGGCTCCACACAACGCGCCAGGGAGACGATGCTTCTCTCCTTCACCAGTCAGGCGTATCACCTTCAGCTTCTGAGCCCTTCGGAGGAATCAGCTTCAATCTACAACGATTGGCAGGGAACCCCTTGCTTTCAGCTCCACAAGGATCTCCAATAAATTCCGAGCGACTGCAGAGATTCGTACGTTCCTCGCGGCCCTGTCCTAGCGTGGTAATGCCATACCCTCAGATATGCAGTGCTAGACGGATACCTACTTGAAGGGCGGCAGGGAAATCTGCCTTGGCTCATCATCACGGCGCTTCCATGAGACTGTCCTTTTCTTGGTGCACATTGTATATGTATATTCAATATATACAGATCCTTGCCTCGTGCGATTGGCCACGAGACCAGTTATTTCGACGTGTTCTTAATCTTCTCATTCGTGGATTCAGTGCTTTGGTTTTATTTTATTTTCATTTCTTTTTCCCACTCCAAGGCAGATCCATATCGCAATTCGACCCAGGGGAATCTTCTTTTGGGGGCCTTGGAACAAGCCTTACATGCATCTGAATATCCCACTATCACATTCATTTGCCCCACCTGGGCCTATCTAGCAGTTTATTCCAAAGGTGCCTATTTTTTCTCATGTGTCCATGTGGGAATGAGAGGAGACATGCGTCAAAAGAAATTCTTGCAATCACATCGAAGGCGCCGGCCGGATCCTTCGAGCATGGAAGATCATTTTCACTGGTTCTCCATTATATCCAAGTCACCTATTAAACCCCGAGTATGGTCGTTCCCTGCTCGACATAATCTGCCTTGGAGATGCAGATGGCCATATGACCCCAAACATGAGTAAAATATGCTCATCTTTCATGCAAATCCATTCACCATGTTCCGTTGGGATGTAAAGCAAAGTCTACATTGAATTAGAGGAGTCAACATCTGAAACTCTTCGGTGCGGGCTTCTAAGCTGACAAATGTTACGTACTCTCAAGATGCTCACCTGGACTTGTTCTCGGTATTATTCGTATATCTTGGGAATCATATCACTCTCGCATGGTTGGAAGCAACTATCCGTGGATGGAATTCTCCATTCAGCTTCGCCTCGCTGTACCATATAGGGCCAGCCTTCATGGTATACCTAGCAATACCGCCCCATTGATACTAACTAACTACCTAGGGATACACTATCCACATCTACTGACCCTGGCCATGCCGCGTAACACAAGGCTGTGGTGGCTGCCATGCGGCTGGGAGTTATTTTCCGTGTACGCAGCATCGGTTCAAGCCTGCTCAACGCTGGGCCTGCATCTGATTTGTGGTCGATAGATCCTCGTTCGCTGATCCATGTATTGTCCTCTCGTCACCTTTCCGGGAGAACTGCTCTTCTTGTTAAGTTCACCGCAGAGCCCAGGGCTTCGTTGCAGCACAGTTTGGAAACCACCACTTGTCAAATTCTGACCCCTCTGTAACCTAGTGCTGCTAGTGGGGGTACATTCAATGGGAATTCTGCCCCTCTCGACGCATGTGCATTTCCACCCCAGGTTGGTTGGTTGGTTTCAGCAACCCTGAACATGCGTCGCCGAGATGATTTCGCCTAGCAATTAGACGAGCTTCTCGGCCTTCCCTTCAATGCACTCCTATAGGGATTTACGACTGGGCCAAACTGAAGACGGTGCATACGCCGTTCTCCCTTCATGCCAGATCTATTTCTGCAAGTGTCATTGGATGTTTCTTTGAGGGAGGGCGTCGCTGTGCTGAAAGACCGGACCCACGGAATCCAACAATGCATACATAGTCACCTTGGCCAACAATTGCCCCTCTCCCCACGGTTGTAACGTCCTGCTGATCACTCAGAGGAGCAGCTCTGTTATTCCACCTTCTTTTTCACATTCTACAGCGTCATCGCTTTCTTTGTCTCTTTTTTTGCTTTTTTGTCTCCATTTTTCGGCGAATGTAACATTCGATTCACGATGTCGTGTGCCACCAGGTCCCTCTATCGTATAAGAGTCGATATTCCTGGTCTACCATTTCCGGGCTCATTATACTTTGGCCTGGGCAGGATTTTACCCTTGCCCAATCTCTGAATCAACACGTTGCCTAGTCTTCCTTCTTGTTCCGACGTTGGTATTTAGCAGGAGACAGACTGATAAAGCGCTGCCCTCATCCTCGTTTCCCTTCGGCTTAAGTCTTCAGCCTCTCCGACCAATACATCGGAGAACATAAGCGAATTATTATATACTCCGAACTCTCCACTTTGCGACTGTTTGATACTTTATCCAGACCATCCTTGCAGCATCTCCTATTCGAGATCAGTGCATATTACTACCGCATTGCCCCACCATCTTCCTACTATCTCACAAAGCCGCTATGGCCGCCTCAAATTCTTCGCCCTTTCATCTGGATCCAGATCACATATCTTGCATCGGTGGCCGAACAGTCCAGACCTGTCGCGGCTGCGCCGGGAACGCCCCGAGGTACTTTGCAATCCGATCAGAATGCCTAACCAACCGCGCATACTCATTCATCATTTATACAGAGGAGCAGTCTGCACAAGCTGCCAGGGCCGCGGCTTCAACATTTTCATCTGCGCACATTGTAATCCGGCCGCTGCAGCTACAGCCGTTCGATCTAGTAACACTGTCGCCTCAGTCACAGCGAATACTACACCAGGGTCATCGGCCCCTTCCTCTCCGGGCTCTTTGAGTCGCAGTCCATCCACATCATATCCAACACAGCCCGATGCAAGAACAAGCAAGGCTTGGAGGAGGTATGGAGATGGACGGGATAGTACGAATTGTGGAAGGGTGGAGACTAATACTAGTACGCCGCGCAATCTATAAATATAGGGTCGGTCGGTTTCTATCTACCCATAAGCTGCCCAGATGGTTATGGAGTTTCGATCTCTGAGATCTCTGAGTCAGGCACAGACAAAAGCCATGTTGACTGGGCCTTTTTTTGGCTTGACTATTTTTTACTCTTCTACTTTCGTTGCCACTTGCACTAGATGCCATTTCAGTTTGTACATTTTTTCTTCATTTTCCATTACATGTGTTTCGGACGGCTCTGGGAGACAAGAGGCTCAGGACAGCTGGTTTGTTTAAGCTCTTTCTTACAATTTTCTTCGCCTAGTTTTTTTGGCAATTGATTTCCGCAGTCATGTCAGTTTGGCCATGGCAATGCCTGGAAGATAGCGAGAATCTCTCGGCAAAACCCCATCTTCGTAGAATAGATGTATCTAGTCAAGGGCTTTCGGCATTTTCCCAGTTCTTAACTTGCAATGAGCTTCAAGTTCAGTTACTAATAATATCTTGAATCATTATTACCCCCCGGGGGAACTTGAAATAAAATGGGTACTAGATACACTTGATGTTTCGGACCCATCACCTGTACTCTTGTAAGAGAGCAAAGATTTAAAAATACTTCTGTGACCGTGCACGAAGCCACGGACCGAAAATGTAAAGCGGCAATCCCAAAAACAGAACAGCCCATTGAATACCCGCAAACTCGTAGAACATCTTGTCTACACCCTCCTTCGCCATCCAACTGTAACAACTCTTGGCCAACCCAAATGCTACCACATTCTTGGAAGCATTGACGAGCACAAGCGCTTCCCCGCTGGTTCTGGGGTAGGCATCTACCACGTAAGAGAGCATAACCGACGGGACGAGGGTCAGTCCCGAAGACGCGATGGCTGCACCAACGGCAGGGCGGACGTAGTGTTGAAGTCGCGAGACAGTGTATCCGAAGATAATGAGACCGACTGGGTTGAGTAGGAAAGGTAGGATTAGGGCTGGTAAACGATGCTCGGGCCTGTGAACGTTGTTGTTGCGCTTGCGGAGCCAGCGAGAGAGCATATCGGTCAAGGGACCTGCGATTGGCCAAGCCACGACGATACCAATGAAGCTGCTAAGGGTGAAGAGACCCAAGTCTGCGGAGGTGAACAGATAGGGAGGTGGTGAGAAGATACTAGGGGCGATGGTTGAAATGACAACAACTCTGGTAAATGTCAGTGTCATGATCCAAAAAGAATATGCATTTCGAAATATTTTCACTCACCCTCCAAGGACAACGCCGTACATGCAAGACGCAATCAATGTGCCGGGGACCAGCAACAAGGGGAATGGTAGCACGAATAGGTAAGCAAAATGCTTGAAGACCCCCTTTTCCTTGGCCTCTTTCGTGATATTGAAGGAAAAGAGTCCCTTCATATAATCGTTATAATTCATACTAACCTGGTCGGCACCGTGCGAGGGGACAGCCTCGATATGACCGGCCAGATCCTTTTCATTATCCTCAATGACCTCCGGCTCCTCTTCTCGCTCATAGATGGTCTCTGGCAGGAAGAAGATTGTAGTGATGAAGTTGACAGCGGCGATGATGGCGCAGAGGATGAAGAACCACCGCCACCCACGGGCTTGAATGAGATAACCTGCAATGACGGGTCCAATTTGCGAGCCACCGGACAGAAATCCAGCATAGACAGCCATCGCACTTGAGTAATTTCGCTCGAAGAAAAGATCTGGCAATTTTGGAATTAGATGGATTGTTGATGGCCAGAGAAGGAGATCTTACCTGCGAGAATGCTGGGGCCGAGCGATTCGCTAGCACCGTAGCCTGTCGAGATAAGTCAGAAAACACTACTAGTATATGACGACCAGGGATAAAACTCACCGAAGCTGGCAAATACTCGCGAGGCAAGCAAACTGTTATAGTCCTTGGCAACTGCACTCCAGATGATCCCGCCCAAGAACATCGCCATAGAAATGAGAGTCACTGGGCGCTTTCCAAAGCATAGTGCAAGTGGCATCCAGATTAAATTGGCAAGTCCCATTGACAGAACTGAATATGTGACCAGAGCCGACAACTGCGCGTTGTCGACACGGAGATCCATCGCTAGCGACTCAAACCCAGTCGCTATACCAGACTAGAAGCACCCATGAATTGTTAGAACAACAGCAAGGTCTTCGTATCTCGTTGATTGGTCTTACCGAGTACATATTCCCCATAAAAACGTATACATTCACTGTAAGGAGGGCAGCATAGCGTACCCGACGCGGGAACAGCTGTTAGGGTTAGCCATGACCGGAAACAGGCGCCATGTAAGCGCCATATCAGGGGTACGATAATACATACCCTAGGGTCAACAGCCGTCATTGTGGGCAAGGGTAAATTCTTCTCCCTGTAGTAAATCTGGGGTAATCGCGTCGTATGATCGTGGCACCACGAGGGAGGGACGGGGGCTACATATAGGGAGAACCCTCTCGGCACAGAGACTCGGGAAAGCAGCAAGCCACACGCAAAGTCCTAAGGCACCTAGCACAAAAGTCCCCGCAGCTACCACGTTTGCTCGAATGAAAAAGGCCTGTGCTGTGCAGAGGGCTTCTCGGCCTTGTGAGGGTTCGGGTACGCCTCGGGACCACATCCCCTGGTGAACTTCTTAAGCGAGGCAGTGATAGCAAACCATGGGTTTTGAGAGATTTGGATTTCAAAGACTGTATATTGTCAAAACAATAGATTTCTGATGCCTTCTAAAATGTTCGTGCGTATCTACGGCTGCTCGGCCTCTCCACACACTGAAACTCCTAGAAGTGGCGTAAGGCAATTCCGAGAGGCAGCCAAAATACCAAGAGCAGCTAATAGCTATCTAAGGCATTCACACAAGAGCCTTAGAATTGCCACTAGTGCCACGAAATTCCTTGCTGTCAGGCATTATTTGGGTCGTCGGCTCTTGGTACCCCAGATTGATCAACTGGGAGATCCATCCTTCCCCACGATACGTACCCCAGAATTGATCCTGGGGATCATCAAAGAGAATAAATCGTATCCACAGCTCCGCAAAGCCTGTCACAAGATCCAGATTAGTATTCATGTTGCCCCTCTCCAGCACCTGGGAAATCCGGGTGTCGGCATATCCGAGAACCGGGGGGAGGGGGGCGGAGATTGTGGGTTCTCGGGCCTTCCGAACAAAATAGCCACGCGCGGAGTTGGTAATCGAAGCTTGAGACAGGAATCTCTTTTATCTGGCCGCTTTTCTCCATATGCTATTGGAGCTTCCACATAAATCTCGACATCTCAAACTAATCCGAGCCATATTAATCCTCCCAAGATGGTGAGTCTCAGTAACGCTGATCATATCCTAGCGGCCGTTCGCTCATCACTGCGATCCAGGTTCCTGAAGAGGCTCGTCTCCGCGTGATCATAGTCGGAGCTGGTCTCAGTGGCATTGCTACCGCGATTTCAGCTGCGCTATCCGGACACTCAGTTGAGGTTATCGAGCAAGCGAAGGAGCTCGCGGAAGTTGGAGCCGGTCTTCAAATCACCCCCAATGCATCCCGGCTTCTCCAGTACTGGAAGCTCCCCTCTTCTCTGTGGGAGGCAGCTGCCGAGCCTACCAAAGTCACTGTGCATAGGTATTCTGGCGCTGTTCTAGCTCATGAAGCTACGTTCGACAAAGATATCCGGGCCAAATATAACGCGCCGTTTGTGGACTTGCACCGTGTCGATCTCCAGCAGTCTTTGTTTACGCGAGCAAAGGACTTGGGGGTGACCTTTCATCTTGGCGAGCGGATTGAAAAGATTGACTTCGATCGTACAACCGTGCATTCTGTGGCTGGGAAGCAGTTCGGTGGAGATTTGATCATCGCCGCAGATGGTCTCTGGTCTCAGTGTCGCGAGGCCTACGTTGGAAAGAAAGATGAGCCACTTCCAACTGGGGATCTTGCATACCGTATCGTGTTAACGGCGGATCAACTATCTGACCCTGAATTGAAGGCATGGGTTGAAAACCCCGAAGTACACTTTTGGGTTGGACCCGGAGCCCATGCGGTGGGCTATTCTCTTCGCGGAGGCCAAATGTACAACATTGTCTTGCTGGTACCGGACAACCTACCCCCAGGTGTATCAAAACAGGCTGGCTCTGTGGAGGAGATGAAAGAGCTGTTTGTCGGTTGGGACCCGATGTGAGAGATCTTGATCATTATTTGCTTAAGAATATACTAACAAGCCTAGTCTCAACCGGTTCCTCGACCATGTGACTACTAACATCGACAAGTGGAAGCTGATGCACCGTAAGTTTTCATTTCACTTTCGATGAACCTTGCAGAAACTAACCATTTTTTTTATCAAAGATGGTGAGATGGAGAACTGGGTCAATGAAAAATCAAATCTTGTTTTCATGTTAGTATTTCACTTGGGCATTGGTCGGGATTGTGAACTGACATATGTCGAAATAGCGGAGATTCATGTCATCCAATGCTTCCTTATCTTGCACAAGGCGCCAATTCATCGCTTGAGGATGGTGCAGTTCTGGGCCTATTGCTAGGACACATGACCAATCAAGCACAACTACCAGGCATTCTGCGCCTCTATGAAAGCCTACGGAAGTCACGAGGTGAGGCTATTGTGCGGGAGACATTTAAACAGGTACGCAGCTCTATCTTTGATTTTAGCATCAGAATCTCCTACTTTGGAAACTAATTTAACACAATACAGAGGCACGACTTCCACTTGCACGATGGTGAAGAACAGCAGAAGCGAGACGAGATATTTACCTCGCAGCTTGGAAAAAAGATCCAAGGCGCATTTCCCAGTCGCTGGTAAGTAGTATCCTTTCAAACATGCGCTATGGCTTCTAATAAGTTTGGATAGGACATGCCCAGAAGTACAGCCTTGGCTGTATGGCTATGATGCCATCAAGGAGGTCGAGAAGGCAGTGGCTCAGAATCCAGATCTTTTCGCACAGCCCACGTCTCGCAAGTCTTCCTGCTCGATTTTGTAAACATTGTTTGATACCGAATAGATTGTTGAGTATATGATTATTGGAATTTCAGTTATTTACTATCTCGTATATAGTGAGAGTGTCTTGTATACTAGTACATTGTACCCGTCCATCTCCCTTAAATCCGGCTCTTCATTATGTCAAAGGCTTCGGCCTTCGCCTCCAATAACGGCGTAAAATCATCTCCCTCACAGATCGTGATAGCCTTCTGATAAGCCGGGCGCTCTGCAACACGCTTCAGATAGGCAAGGATATGTTTATGCTTCTCCGTGTCATAGTCCACAGGGCAGAATCCACGCATGGTTGTCAAGGTAAAGAAGGACATGATATCCGCGGCCGTCAAGTCTTTTCCAGCTAGGTAGGCGCCGGTCTCGGCGAGTCGAGAATCGATGCGTGCTAGTAGAAGCTCCCATTTCTTAAGGGTGATGGCCACCACTGGAGATTTGGGGTCGGTTGTCGGGCCACGGGTCATCAACACTCGAAATAGTGTGGGCTGAAGACTGCCATTGGCAACGTGGAGCCACTCCAGGTAATGAGGGTAGTCTGCGCCATCTTTGGGTGTGAGGGCTAGACGGCCGTTCCCATAAACAGCGATAATGTAGTCTATAATGGCGCCCGACTCGGCTAAAACGACCTTCGAGTTAGTTGCGGGTGAGGGGTCATCTTCCATGACTGGGGCGGTGCCGGCAGGATGTAAGTCTTTCAGAGACTGCGGGGCAAAGATGGGATCGCGCTTATGGAAAACATAATTGTAATCGATGCCGAGCTCTTCGGCCAGCCAGATGATGCGCTCGGATTGAGAATGACCCAGATGGTGCAAGGTGAGAGGCATTGCGGCGGTAGGGTAAGCAGTCTTTGGGGGGTTAATGAGCGAAGGGGAGGTTCAGAAGTTAAAATACTCCTCAGAGAGCGCTCCACCTTGAGAACTCAAGATCAGGGAGAAAAACGCGATCGTCCTCGTCCTATGACATCAGCTTCCAAGGTTCCACCCGAAGGACTCGGAGGTGAAAGATGCGAAGCTCGTACTGTAGCCCGGAGACCTCGGTGGGCGATCCACTTTCCACCCATTAATCCACGAATGCTTATTCTGAAATGCACAAAAAGGCCCGAGGACTCGGCGAGAAGGAAATTATGAACGGCCGGTCGGAGGGCCGGATTTAAAGCATTTCTATGTCCGTGTCTCACTCAGGCTGTTATCAAGGCCCCGGGATCGGCACTGAATTTTACTTAGTCGAGAGAATTATAACTATCGTTTAGCGACTATGTACATGAGACTTCCAAGGTTCTTTATATACAACAACTTGAACTTCAAGCTTTGGAAGCACACTGGCACTCATAACCAATTACCCATCCAACATCGGTAGGCCGCCAATATCATCGAACAACCTCGCAATCCCATCAAATGAATAATCCGGGAACCCGAAGCCGTAGGCCCACTCGGGGATTTCAAATCCAGGGGGTCCAGCCCCTACTTCGGAAGCAGCTAGATCATCGCCCCCTTCGACGCCCGTAGTTGAATGTTGTGGTCCAGATGCCCTGAAGTCTCTCAGGTATTGCCGAACAATTTCCACAGATTTCCGGGCAACAACGGACTCGTCCATAGCTTCGAGTATCTCGACTCCCATTTCGACAGAACGTAGGAGAGGCATGGTCTCGGCGCACATGCCGAGTTTCGACATCGGGAGCAATAGAGTTGAAGTAGCGAACATTACGTATGTCGTGTTATACCACCTAGATAGATTAGTATGAGCAAGCAATATTTACCTGCTAAGATGAAAACGTACCAGCATCGGAAGAAAGTATGCACTCGATAAATGTCGTAGATGACTTCAATGGTCTTCATAGCAGCCTCGAGACATTTGTTGATCGTCTCCTCTAACTCGGTCGGGGTGTGTCGTAATTTTCGTGTGAAGTGGCTCAAAAATGGGCGGAATAGAAGCATCTTGACATTACAGTAACCTTGGAGACGTGAAAATCAGCAATGAGCTTTTATCCCAGGGTCAATATTAAACTCACGTATTCCTAGGACGAGGCGCTGCCTTCTGGCCCATTTTGGATCCCGCAAAGCACTGCGAGATTGCTTATAGGCACCGATATCCGGTCTGATCTTCTCTGGGAGTCTGGCAAGCCAGCGATCCACCTCCATTTCAATCTGAAGGGCTAATTGTAGCTTTTCCTGTAGTGTTATGCGGGAGTGGTAGATTTGGACAGATACCCGTCGAATGATCTGGGCAAAGTCAATCATCCACGGAATGATAGCATATTCTGAATCATCTCGATCTGGAATAGCTCTATTATGATATTCGTCCATCCCAAGGGTATCAGGTCGTCCGGTTGAGAAGCTCATCTCTCTAGAAAGAGGGTCAGTCATGGCTAA